CTTGCATTTGCTGAACGGAAGATGCTAGATTTTTGCCTGGTTTCCAAGGGAATCGATTTCACCATTGCAAATACGCTCCCAGCCTTTTCACCTGGAACCTGACGTTGCGGGGGGCCCTGGAGAACACTTCTCCTTTAAAGGGGCCCCCCGAAGGTCAGGCTCCATGTGAAACGGGGAGGGTGTCTCTATTTTTTTTTCCCAGGGAGCTCCTGGGCACCGAGCTCCCACACAAAGAGCTTCGGTTCGAGCAAAAGCTCTGAGGACGCTGGTTATTAGCCTATTCTTCGCTGTTCTTGGCAAGTTTTTTGCCTTTGTGTTTTGTTTGATTCGTGCAAGAATTGCGATGGTTTAGTCTATTGTTGGGCTGCCTGGATGGTAATTATACATTGCTGTGAGGAGACTTGCTGGTTTGACAGGCAGGGAATGAGAATTGGAATGACCCCATAAACCATCCAACTGGTGGTTTCCTTGAAGGGAATTCTTCTCCATTCCCAACACCCTGGATCATTCCCTACTGAGCACCAGCAAGGAGACCCCCACGAAAAGGTTGGTCGTTACACAAAGTGCTTCACGTCTTGCAGCCGCAAAAAAACAAGCCGAGACCGCCTGTCAAGCAAACATCTTTGACGCCATGGCTGCCTTGTGCGCCCGGGTTGCAAAGGTAGGTATACCGCTCGTAGAGACACTGCGGATGGTTGCGAAATCCATTTTGCACCACCTAAGAAACTATGGGAAACCCTTGTTTGTTGGTTTTTACAAGGGGGGCATCACTCCAGGGTTCCTTAGGTGGTGCAGGATTTTGTCCATCAGTCATTCCATCCATGCCCCTTTCAGCATTTGACCAATGAGCATTGCTTTAAGTCTAAGCATTTTTTTTGGGGCTGACACAGTTGGCGAATCTGGACGGCGCCAGCCCACATCGGGGTTTGCATTGTTTTTGTTTACCATCATTGGCTTGTGGTATGGCTGTGGGTCAAAACCTATTGTACCATTTTGGGGTAGGTGCACCACCCTATTTTAGTGGGGATTGGGATGTTCAGTTGGGGTACATAATTTTGACCCATGGCCAGATGGGTATGGGTCAAGGACCGCAGATTTTAGTCCTTGTTTCCATTTACAAAGGTCCCATTTCGGGTTTTGAGCCACACCTATATGGTGCTTCTTGCGCGTTTTCAAGCGCGGATTACGGATTAAGAATATTACCAACCAGAACAAGGATTAAGCGGATTACGGAGTGTGATTAGGCCCCCCAGGATTTCGGACAGGCTAGAATGTCCTGACATCCTGAAGTATGAGCTCACTGAGCAGCAGAGAGAACTCCCGCCGGAGGCAAGCCGATCGCTATTCAGTGAGTAATGCTGGTAGCGCCAATGGCCAAGCGTTGAACTGCCGCCACTCGTCAATCCGTCGGTTGTGATCGTAGACTTCGAGCAGTGGCTGATCTGCGCGTGTCCAACGTGTCTGGCAGCGACAAGACGGCAAGACTTTCGCTTCTTCGAGCTGAATGAGCGGGTCGCAGCGAAGCGGCGCTTGTTCTTTGGGCAGAGCTTGTAACAGCGTGGCCTTGACTCTGGATATGTTTGTAGCACTAAGTGGGTATGGGTCAAAATTAAACCGCCAGGGGACCGCAGGTTTTAGTCCATGTTTCCATTTACCATGTTTCCATTTGGGGTACATATGTTTGACCCACAGCCAAGTTTTGTACATATGCGTCGACCATTGAGATGTCCGCTTCTTCTAGCTTCATGCGGAAGGCAATGTGGGCTGCCCAAGCTTCACGTCAGCCGCCCGCACAAACCAAGCAACCAGCCAGCCTGCCGCAAGCTCGCCACAGCCGCACGAAGACGCAGAGGATGCACAGTGCACAATGTACTGTTGACCCAGGATGAATAATCCCGTCCCGTTATTAGGGGGCCGGGGGTGTTCCCTCCAAAAGTGGACACCCTCCTATGAATCAACCAGGGGTGTATTAATCCGGGGTCAACATTACGCAAGCTGTTGGGGCATGGCGGCAGTATGGGCACGGCAACGCAGCTTCTTGTTAGCACCTCGAGCATTCTTTGCATGTCAACCGTTATTGTGGTCTAATTCAATTGGCGGGTTCATTTGGGAAGCAATCTCGAGTTTGACGCGGCTCTGTTCGTCCTTCCTAGCTGGCAACTGGCTGGCAATGCAGAACTGCCCACCGAGGTCCCGCCGGTGAGCCTTACGCAGGGGGGCTCAAGCTTTCTGCTTTCCTGCTGCTTTAGTTGCTTGCAGCTGGGCTCTGTTGCAGCAACACGACGCATGAAAGAGTTTCCACAGCATGGAAACTGATGTTGTTCTTTTGTCTCGACCCTCTGTTCAATGTCCAGCAAACCTTATTCTTTCGAACTGCTTCCTGCTTCCAGACGTGTCGCGATTGCAACTGTTCCCTACACCTGTGTGTCTTAAAGATGGAGGACCCCCTAAATCATCTAATTGAGTGGCGTCCAAAACCTCCGTGCACATGTTTAGTGAGAGTCATGTCATACCACTCCACGCGCATAAGGTGACGTAAGCTGGTGGCGTAAGCAAAACCTCCAAATGTGTGGCTTAAGCAAAATCTCCACACGAGTAAGGCGCCGTAAGCTGTTGGCGTAAGCATAATAATACGACATAGCAAATCATGACACGTTTAGGACATGGCTCATAATTGTGGTTGTCCTTTTGGTGTCCCTTTAAGCCCCTCCAAGAAGGAAAACGGGCAACCCGCCAAAACAGGCATAGCCGAAATCAGCGATTTGGTCCAAAGGAACACAAATTGCCAGGCACGAGGCCTTGCAACCAGTTGCATGCTTCATTCCTAGAAATCTGTCATTTGCTGAGCAAATTGTTTCATTTCCCCGTGTTGGTTTTGAAGGGAAACTATCTTCTCTGGACACATGTTAATATATTCATTTGCGGCGTAAGCAAATGGAAGAAATGGGCGTGTCCCAAGGTTGGTTTCCTTTCAGCTGGGATGGCATAGGTTGAGCTGAATGTGGTATGTCAGTTCAAAAACTTGGAACCTCCAAGATGTAGGTGGTTTCCATTTGTTAATTTTGGTCTTCAAACCCCACAAAGGTACCAACAAAAAGGCACACACCTTGTGCTTCGCTGGGCTTGCCGGGGAAAGGAGTTGGCTTTTTCTGTCAACGAGGTGCTTGTCATTTTGGACTTCGGCCGATGGCCTTGACAAGCGCGGCCAGGCGACTTGAGTTGAAACAGGACGCTGGCTTTCTTTTTAATACTTTGGCAACCTTCCATTTGCTTAAGAATGACCATGTTTATATCCCCCTGTTGGTTTCAAAGGGAATGTATCACAACTGGAAATAGTTTCATTTTTTCCAGGGGGCTTAAGGACATGGAAGCAATCCACCTCGGCAACCTCATGTGGTGCACAAAGGAACCATTCGTACCAGCCGCTTCTTGAAGAAGGCTGGACTCTTGCGAAATGGCTGTGGGTCAAAAATAGGGGAACCCCAAAATGGCTTGCCCTGGTAAAAGGAAACATGGACGATTTAGCCTGCGGTCCATACCCTGGTGGTTTCATTTGGACCCCCAGCCACACGGCGCCACTGACCTGCCGAGGTGGGGTGGCGACTTCTTAGCTGCCGCCACGGAGGCTGGGAGCGGCAAAAAGGCGGCGGAAGGCCTTCCTTGTCGCTCGGATGGGGATGCACGTGTTTCAAATGTTGTGTGGTTTGCCTGGTTTTGGTGGATGGGGGGTTGCAAAAAAAAAGGCCCAATTCTGGATCTCTGTTTTGGCCCCCGTTATTTTGGAGCCCTGAAAATAAAGGCGGGCCCCACATAATCCATGGACCAAACAGGGTACGGGTACCCATTTTTCAAAGTTCCTTCAATGTTCACAAGGTCACCGGGGTCTTTCGGCGTTTTCACTGGCCACTGGCCAGGTGAAATGCGAGACACATCATCATCCTCGATTCAAGACAAGCTACATGTTTTACACAATGGTTTCCTTGTGGTTTGGCACGTTCTATGCATGCATTTGCAAACAACATAAAGATCCTTCACTTGGGGATCCCTTATTTCAGGGCATACGGCAACATTTGCAAATTCATTGTTTTATTTTTGCTTTCTTGTTTTCTTGGGCTGTTTGTTTTGAGTGGCGGCTACAACGGACCTGTTTGCTCATGTGCCAGGTGCTGGGAAGTTGTGGCCCATGTTCCCAAGCTGGTGGTTCTTGAAGCGAGCTTGGATCAAGCGCTTTGTTTTGGGCCGGTGCAAGAAAATAACTAGCAACTGACCTGTCGGGTCCAACCCTGCACAGCAATTGGAGCAAATCGATGTGGGGGTGGGTCAAAACGCAGCTACCTGTTTTTGTGCAACTTGTTTCTTTTGTTTGGTTCATTTTGAAAGGGAATCTTGGGGGTAGCGGGGGGTACCAGGGTTTATTAGTTAAGGAGCCCCGCTTGCCAGCGGCGTTCCTTTGTGCGGTAACGCTGGGCCAAAAGCAGATCCGCCAGACTCCCACGCAGGCGGGCGAGATCGCCTTTCTGCAGGCGGGACGGAAGTCCGACACGCGGCGCGCCGCGCGGCGCGCTCCGCCGCCGGTCTTGCCGGTTCGGGGCCCATTCTCCTGTCATAGCATCAGGTGTACCTGCCCTTTCTCCTAGCATCAGGTGTACCAGGGGATGGAAGGGCCTGATTTTTTCCCGCTGTCTCGCAACCAAGGCTTCAGTTGTTTGGGGGATAAGATTTTTGGCTCGGCATGTCAGATTCTTGGGGGAGTCCCTTGAAATTCAGCGCTTTCCAGTGGTCAAACCTGGTTGGCTTGAGTCGAGATTGCCTCAAGATCCAAAAGCATGAATTCCCAGCGTCCAGTGTTGTTGGCCAAAGAAACAAGCTAGGGGATCGCGCCAGGTTGCTTTGTTGTCTAAAAAAGGCCCACGGGGCGTAAAGCACAGGGCGTAAAGCACAAGGCCAAGTTTCGGCTCATTTCTTGTCCGGCCGCTTCCACTTCCAGGCAACCTTCAGCAATGCTGGGAAAAGCCTGGAAAGATGAGTTTGAGTTGCCGGAGGAAATTCAGAGGGTCGCCGTTGTCATAGGCGAGACGGGAGTTGGGAAATCAACGATTGTGAATATGCTTTACAATCAGGATAGCAGTGAAAGATGCTGTGCCGAGCCCAGTGTGACTGGCAACTCGGCCGATTCAGTGACGAAGGCATCCTCCCTACATTTGTGCATGCGGACTGGATGGTGTTTGGTGGACACAGTCGGGGTGGGAGATCCCGACTTGCGCCAGAATCAGATCGTTGACAACGTGCGGAACGTGATTCGCAACACTGCCCGCGGAGTGCATGCCGTCATCATAGTCATGAAGATGGGCCGTGTTCCAAAAGCCTCGCGGGCCAATCTGGTATTGCTACAGAAGTTGTTCCGAGAGGAGGATCTCAAATCCCATGGTGTCCTGGTTCTTACCCACTGGTCTGGTGAGCTTGGAGAGGAAGAAGGGGCTTTGAAGGAATGGATGGGCTCAGCACCTGGGGAGACATTTGAGGACGCGCATGGCAGCGAGTCTGAGGGCCCGAGCAAACAAGAAGCCAGCTCGCTGCCTAATATGATCGACAAGTTCAGCCGCGTCATACTTACCAACAACCAGCTGAAGGGCCGAGGCGCCTACTCCGAGTGCAGGCAGAACTGCCTTTGCGAGCTTTTGGAGTTTGTCCACAGCCGCACTTGCAAGATTCGACCAAGGCCGGTCAAATTCAAGGACTTCATCTACGACCTGATGCTCGACATTTACGAGATGTTGTGGGGGAGCGTGGTGACAATCAAGGACTTGCTGGGCCGCGGTGAGAGCAAGGAACTCCCGACCTACTGTGGAGCGTGTGCAGTGTGTTCTCGGCAGATTGAGCTGCAACAAGCGTGCAAATTGACCTGCGACCACTCGTTCCATCAAGAGTGTGTCAAAGATTTGACCGCGTGCCCGGTGTGCCAAGCTCCGGTGGTGTCTTTGTTCAGCTTTGCAGATTTCTTTTCGGGAGGTGTATAGGCGCTGCCTCATGGCGGCTTGCAGTTTTGGGTGTCTGAGTCAGACAGAGTGATTTGCAGCTTGGAGCGAAACACAGACATGGCGCTGGTGTGGCCCGTGATATTCCAAGAATAATCAAATTGGGCATCATCCACAGTGTTGACCCCGGATTAGTAAACCCCTGTTTATTAATATGGGAGTGTTGCCCTCCAAAAGTGATACATCCTCACTAAAACCAGAAATGGACACCCTATATAATAAAACAAAATGTGTATTAATCCAGGGTCAACATTATCCGCAAATGGCCGGGTGTGGTTCCTCTTTGTTGAGTCGGTGTCCTCTTTGTTTGGGTCAACATTAGCTTTCTAAAGAGGGGTCCTTAAAAAGTACATTTTGCCCATTTGAAACATTGCTTTTTCCACCAAAATAAGGGGAAACCACCATTTTCAAGTTGCAATGTTCAGGTGTATAATGTAAGGATCCCTGCTAAATCCGGGGTCAACAACTCAGCTTTCAAGCACAAGGCCCTCGCATCGCATCGGAAGCCCAGGACTTTGAGAGCATTGATGCTACTTGGCCTCAGAAAAACCCCAGGGCCTGAAGAAAACCTTCGGCTTCCGTGCCGGATGGCATTCCACTTGGGTTCCTGGAGGCGCTTCTCCCGGCTTTTTCAGACCAAGAAAGGGTAGCAACTCACAGGGTGACTCACAAAAGTCTTTGTGTTCCCGCTGCAGGCCGAGAAAGGGATTGCCCTACATTGCCGTCCTACAGATCAAGTGTCACACAGCAGATGTCCCTTGGCGTTTCTTCCCGCGCAATAGCACTGGCCAAGTATCAGGTCCAGCACTGCGCAACTATTTTCTTGATTGGCGTTCCCAGCGAATCGTCCGGTTCAACCCAGGTTTTTAGGATGCCGAATCCTTTCGTTGAACTTAGGCTAGGATGCTGTCTGGTATTTCGTGGTTCGGTTTCCGTGTTTCACCCACTGAAATTCCTGATCGCCCCTTGTGGCGGATCCGATGTTCGATGATTCGACCGGAGTTCTCGAGTTCTTTCTCGTCTTTTCTCCAGGCGGACTTGGAAGTGCCCAAGGCCGGGGTCCCAAGAGGCCAGAGAAACCCTCGGCTTCCGTGCCCCCGAAATGGCATTCCAATTGCCTTGGTCTTCCAAGGACCCGCAAAACCAGGGGCCTTCTTGATTTTGATCTTGGCTCCAAATGGAAATTCGGCCAAAGGCCTGCTTTTCCAGGGTGCTGGAAGATCAAGGTTGGGAAAAACCGGACCAAAAAAGGGTACCAACTCACAGGGTAACTCACAAAAAGGGTTTTTGTTTTCCCGTTGCAGACCGAAAAAGGGTAACTCACAAAAAGGGTTTCCGATTGCTGAAAGGTGTTGTTTTATTTCCCCCCAGTTTAGCTTGTCCGCTGGAGCATGTACGCAGATGAGGGACATTTCTGGGTTGTGAGCAGATATGTTTACACAAGTGCCCAGGATGGAGATATTTGTTGGTGTTAAGGTCATGTGGTGAGCGAACTACCGATGGTCACACTGCTTAATGGATGATCCGCCCGCTTGGCTTGCTCGTGAATTGTGCTTCCTCTCGCAGTCCATGGGAACACGGCATGGAAGCAGCCAATGTGGGCTAGCTTGCCCATCCAGCGCGCAATCTGAAGTACCGAACCCGGACCTTTGCAGCCCAATGGTCGGTCTAAAGACTTCTAGGACCTCATTCTTACAGGGGCAGTGCGATCAAGCTTGACATCCTCACAACCTGTCGCATGAATCATGCGGGCGTTCCACTCCTCCGAGCTTGCCTTAGGCTTGCGCAGAACTGATAGGTGCAAGTGCCAACCTGATGTTCAGGCACTGGTGGGGTGACAACCCTGTAGTGAGCAGGAGGAAACCTCCGCAGGCCAAAGCTTGCGCAGAGAAGCCGACCACTTGCGCTGCTTTACCGTGATCCTAGCTGTGGAAACTGAGTACGTATGGCAGCTAGGCCTTGTGTACGCAAACCTCGAGGAAACCCACGAACCCACCATTGCCTCGGCATCCTTCTGCTAAAAGCTTCATGTCACCAAAGCAGCTTGGCCGAGGCCCCAGCTGAGACTGCGCAGAGCGCGCCCAAGGCGCGCGGAAACAGCAGAACTTGCAGTTTGGGCGAACCAGAGGCGTCCAACCTCTGGAGATATAACAGGGACTCTAGTTTAAGGGAGGGTTTAACTGGGACTTTAACATGACCATATCTTCCCACAACCAGCTTAACATGACCTTAACAAGAACCAGAGGCAACTCCAGCATATCTTCCCAGCTCAACAGGGGCTGTAGTAACATGTAGTAGCTCCCTGAACCATCGAAACCGCCGATGGGTGTTGGATGGTTTTGGGCTTTTTCCGAGGCTCTCCCAACTTGAGGGTCAAAGGCACACCGTGCCGGCAAAACGGGATTGTCTCCTTACCTGGGGGCAATATCGAAATGGCTAGTCTCCCTTTGATCTCCCATTAACAAAACCCCAAAATGTGTTAACTTCCTAAACAACATAATGAGCATGCTTTGTGAAAAGAGCGGGGGCCGTTTTCTTCGAGCCCCGTGGAAAAACATCGCCTCTTGGGCCACTTGGTAGATGAGTGCCTCTTGGAGTGGCGCTTACGGGAAAAAAACATACAGGGAGTCCTTGAGGGGGCCCCCCCAGGAGGAGGGTGCGACGACGGTGCCGCAGGAGTGACGGAATAGCTGGGGAGGTGTTGGATGGGTGGAGGTCCGCTGTTGGACCACTTCGGTTTGGGCCCAGCACCAGCTGAGCAGCGTCCAAAAACCTCCGTGTACATGTTTAGTAAGAGTTATGTCGTATCGACCAGCGCGTAAGGAAACAAATCCATGCGCGTAAGGTGGCGTAAGCTGGTGGCGTAAGCAAAACCTCAAAATGTGTCGCGGAAGCAAAACTCCATGCGCGAAAGGTGGCGTAAGCAGAATGATACGACACAGCAAATCATGACACGTTTAGGGCATGGCTCAGCTGTTCAATTTGTGGGACTACTAAGCCAAAGGCAACTGGGGGTAGAGCTCGTATTTTTAAGGTGTTTGGCTCGGTCAGATTTAAGCACCACCTTTCGGGTGCCGTGTGAAGCCAACTTTCTTTCGGGAGTTGTTTGTGTGGAAGAGAGATCATCTAGGGCTGTTTGTTGGAGACTCAGACGGGTTGGAATGGACATGATTGATGGATCTCTCGCTTTGGAAAGGAGTTGCTTGGATGGGCTGGTTTTCTTTCAACTGGGACCCGTGGGATAGGTTGGGCTGAATGTGAGTTCAGTGATGGGTATGTGTCAAAATAGGGTTCCCAGACAGGTTTGCGAAAGGGAAACCTTTTTTTTGTTGCGGCAAATCTTTCAAGGATCCCTCAAAAAACACATAAGAACGACGCCAGGAAGAGGGCGGGTGTGCTACAGAGTGAGCATCTTTTGCTAAATCGGGTGCAGTTTTCTTCGAGCCCCGTGCAAAAAACATCACCTCTTGGGTCACTCGTAGATTAGTTCCTCCCTTTTGAGCGGGCCATTCCAGTGCGATTCGAGTGCCGGTTCAAGCGAAGTTTCGTGCAGGGTCTTTGTGTGGAGAGATCATCTAGGGCTGCTTCTTGGAGACTCGGACATGCGGCTGACCTAGAGGGCGTTTTGGTTGGAATGGACATGATTCTCTGTTGAAAAAGGAGTTGCCTGGATGGGCTCAGGTTGGTTTTCTTTCAGCTGGGACCCTGGGATAGGTTGGGTTGAATGTGGGTATATGTATCAACCTGTAAAAGGGTATTCTCCCAGAACAAGCACACACACACAAGGGATGGGATCGGCATTTGGATGGATTGGGTTAGTCCCTGGCTGGGACTGGTCGGGAAGGCACCGCAATGGTGATTTTGTTTCAGACGAGGTTCGGCCAAAGGCTACTTTTTGTTTTTGTTTGTGTGTGTACATGCTGAGTTTGACACGGACAAAACGGTGCGCATCAGTTTTTCCACAGAACAACAGGGGGACTCAGTCATCGTGAGATGCGCAGCAGAAGCAAATAGATTTTGAGTGTTGCTCAAACGGCTTGAGCTGATGTCAAGTTGGTGAGCATTCATGATTCACCCAATGCGAAGCTCATATCAAGCGATTGGGTGAAGAGATACTGGGGCCTCTTCACTGCAACAAATGCTTCTCAACAAAACGCACCGGCCGTATTTACTGACTGGAGTTCTTCGGTGGGGCAAGTTCCGGCATTGGGGCCCCCCTTTTCATGGATGGTTTCACAGGCAAACAAGAAGTATCAAACTATGTTAGAGCTCCCTCGCTTGCCCAAAGCCAACCTTTTGACCTTTTGGTTTCCCCATTTTGGTCCATTTTTAGTCATGGCCCCAAAAGGTGATCAGCTTTTATTTCGTCCTTTGGGCAACTCAGCTCCAGTTCCCATTTTGAATGAGGCTAGTTTTCCCACTTCTCCTGGTCGCTCCCATCCATCCGGTTCCTTAGATCCTTTTAGGGGATGGATGGGTTGGATTTCCGTATTGAACCCACTAGTTAAACTTAGCTTGTTGGCCTTTTAGTGTTTGGGGATTTCCATTGAACCCACGAAAAGTTAAACTTTAGCGGGGGATCTGAAAATTGACAGCGTTCTGTGACGAGTACGTGCGGATTTGAGGGCCAATCTCAATCATGAGTTGGTGCGGCCACCCTTGCGCTTCTCATTGTTTTGGGTTGACTCCTCTGCTATTCGTTTTTCCTTTCATTTGGTTAACAATATATGTTGATTTTTCCCTGTTGGTTTTAAAGGGAATCTATCTCTACTGGACATGTTTATTTTATTTTTCCAGGGGACTTGAGCAAATGGAGGTTTCTAAAAATAATTTTGACCCCGTATTCAACCCCAGTTTATGAATAGGGGTGTGTCCCTAAATGAAATGTGGTTGGGGTCTTCCCCCACCCCCCGCCCCCTATTCATCAACCAGGGGGTTGATGAAAGAGTGGGGTCAACATTATTTGCCAATATAACCCGCAAAAGTCTTCGTACAGCGAATTCGAACCGGGCTTACGGATGGGACACCACAACGTTTGTTTGTATTTTCCTGGGGAGTCAACTCATTCAGAGAACTCATAGCACGGCTTCGAAGTTCGGCCCGCAGGACACCGAAAAGCCTGGAGAGGCAAAAGAGGAGCTGCCGGCGCCCGTGAAGCCCGTGACGCAGGCGCCGATCCTCGAAAGCAACGCTTTTTCCGCGTGGCAACCAAGGAGCTCCCGTCCAGTTTCTTACCTCTTAAAAACACAACTTTTCAACTTTTTGGGTAACATGGGCTATATGTCTGTAAAAGATTAACTTCCCCAGGGCTTGGAGTTTTAAGGGGTAAGGTTTAGGGGGGAACCTACCTGGCTTTGGGGAAAAAATGGTAGGGCCTGAACCTTAACCGTCCAAGTAAGCAGTCTGGTGTTGGGTCATCCTGCACACTTTTGCCGTGAGGATTCAATTGCTTGACCCGAATGTAGACATGTTTATCCCTGAGTTCTCCAGGGCTCCTTAAAAGATCTCCATGTTGCAACCAGTTGAAACATGGCTGGCTTTTTCAACCACCAATATAAAGGGAAACCACCATTTACAAGTCGCAATGTTCAGGTGTTTTTTCATGCATCCGGATCCCTGTTCTCCCAAAGGGACACGAACCACGGGTTTAGTCGGAAGCCTTGGGGCAATCAACAGATGGAAGCCTGGTTTGGAGGAATCGTGCTGATGGCTTTTGTCAAGCCGCGTGCCTTTGCTTGTTCATTTCCCTGTACTTGTTTGTTGGTGATTTGAGTGTTTGTGTTGTGCTGTATGCTTGTTCTGCTCATTGTAGTGTTTGTATTGTGTTTGTGTTCTGTTCGTTTGCTTGTAATTTGTGCTAGTTCTGCTCATCTAACTGTTTCATGCCATTGTGTTTGAATTTGTTCGACTTACCCTGATTTTGCTTGCAGGTCGTGCTTAATCGTGTGTGTGTGTGTGTGTTGTGTGTTTGCCGGTTCTGTTCCTTTGATTTGTGCTGCGCTTGTTGGTGAATTGAGCTCATTTCCTTTTAGTGTTGCATTTGTTGAGGGTTCTTAGGAGCGTTGACTGTGGGCGCAAGGATCGCTCCGAACCTGAATTTTATGTTGGGAGCACGTGACGGCCAGAGCTCCAACCTCCTACCATCCAGGTGGTTGTGGAAAGGTTGGTAGGGTCAGTGTGGTCCAGGTCCATTCGGCTCGCAGTCTTGAGGACGGCCCCCTTGGCCGGCGACTGACAAATAGGGAATAGGCATGTTGCGCAGGTTTAAAGGTGTTTGCTTCAACGTGTTTGACGAATTTGTGTTGTTGTTTGTTATTGATTCCAACAAAACAATGTGTACCTCCCCTTAACGCGTTACTGTATTCTCAAGGTGGCTTCCAGCATTGGTGTTCAAGCCGATGTTTGGATGTAAGGCAACATGAATTTACAACATATGGGTATGGGTCAAAATGAAACCACCACAAAACCGCAGGTTTTAGTCCATGTGTCCATTTACCAGGGTTCTACTTTGGGGACCTATTCTTGGCCCATACCCATAGGGCCCGTTGCTCGCAACCGACGGGTAGTCGAAATGAAGCCAGGATAGGGCCCTCTGGTTTGGAACCCTTGTCTCCAGGAAACCGTTTTGGATGCGCCGCTTTGGCGGATTTCACCTGTTCTTCTCCCGGTCCGTCCCGTTTTCGTAATCTGTTGGTGCTCTTTTTTTAAAAAATTCTACGGGGCTGATTCCAGAAAAGCCACAGCCAGACCGCTTGAAAATTTTTGGAGGGCCCAGATCCAAGAAAGTGGCACACACCAGATGCGTCACATCCAAACCGTTGTCTTGATTGTTTCCATCCAGGGTTCCAGTATGGGTTCTAGCTTGGGGTTGCCCTATCTTTCACAACCACACCCAGGTGAAAAGGCAAACCGTCATACTCAGCGAGTCGAGTCCTCTTCAGAGGAAGATGCTCACATGGCTACCTGAGCAGGAGGTCAACAAAAACGGAACCTAACACCCTTTTCATGCATGGATCTCAACCGTCCCTTTAAGAGAAACATACACAATGGCATACCAAAGAGGAGCTCATTTGCATATCACCTGGGTAGCAAGTGGACGACTACTGGGGTGCTAATTCAATTTACTCAGGTGGTACCGGTGGTAGCTTATGTCTCCAGCCACTTAGGTTTCACAGACAGCCCCTGCCCACATCCCCACTGGAGGATGTTGTACATGTCGTGTTTTCTAATGATACAGTACTTTTTTTGGGTTGGTACAAGGGGAACAGGCCGGAGCGCAGGAGCAACCACCCATTTGGCATGACCCCTTCAAAACAAACCTTCACTTGAGCGGCGCCCGAAATCTCTAGTGGCGTTGTAATATCTAGGCTCACTTGTTGGGTTCCGTTTCGGACGTGGTACTTTTTGGGAAGACCGCTACTTTTTTTGGGAAGACCGTTTTAGCGGCACACAGAATCAGAAAGCTTGGCTACTTGTTTTGGGCCATCCACTCGGGAAGTGAGGTGGGTTGGGTTTTGAGAGGTTTTTTTTTTCATTTTTAGTGGGGAGATACAAAGGACAACGTTGTTTGCTACCAGTACCACACCTGGTCGGTTCATTATCAGTGGGGGGCTGCAAAAATCAACAATTTTGGCTACCAACCAAGGGTTTTCTTCTATTTGGTTATGAATATGTGTTTATTTTCTCTGTTGGTTTTAAAGGAAATCTATCACTACTGGACATATTGTATTTTTCCAGGGGACGAACACGCAAATGGAGGTTGTAGAGTTTACACCGGCACCACGAGACCCGCGGGTTTTCTCGAGCAGGCGCCAGTGCAGCTGAGCTTCCAGCCCGGCGCCACCTGTGGCGGAAGTGCCGGGAGTGGGCGGCGGTTCCTGGCGTGGAACGAGCACGGCTGCCTGAAACTGTGCCCGCGCCGGGTGCAGGTGGACTACTTCAAGCTCCTTGGGCTGGATTGGGTGCGTCAGATTTTGGGGGCGATATATTGGCGTGGGTCGAAATCAAGCCACCGGAAAACCGTTTTTTGACAGCCACATCCATATTTTTTGTTTGAGGGTCCAAATCTTGGAGCCAAAGAGAAGGCAAGTTTGGGGGTTCCGCTGTTTTGAGACAAACGCAAGCAAGGTTTGCCAACGGAAGTCTGCTATCTCCCGCCTCCCCCATGTTTTTGTTGGGGTCATGCTTTTGACACTTGCTTGGGGGGTCAAAGCTGGAGATACTGGCCGGCAAAAAAGTAATGGGTTCTCAAGCTTACTTTTGGGGCCCTGTAGTTTCCCTTTCGGCGAGTTTGCTTGTTACCTTAATTTTGAGTATGTCGTCCAAAGTGGGTGTCTTTAAAATGGGAGATCCTCGAAAATGGGTGTGACCAAACTCATTCATGCCGTGTGTCAAAATAGGGGAATTGAAAACTGAAACTGGGTGGCTTCCCTTTGGTCAAAAGGCTACCGAGCCGCAAAACAAAAACGCGCGCGTTTTTGTGGGAGTACCCCAATTTCACCTTGACAGGAGAACCGTTTTTGCATTGGGGTGGGGGGGTGCTATTGTGATACGGGTTGTTGTGAGGGTACTTTCGTTTGGGCGGTGAAACCAAAGACACCCATGTGGAAACTACCCGTTTGCGGCCTTTTTGTTTTAGAGGCACACCTACATACCAAACAGGGCGACCTCAAAGTTTGTGAGCTTCCCTTTATTTCCCCTTGAAACCAGGCCCAATAAGGCTATCCTGCCTTTCTCCCCCAACCCCTGAAAACGGATCCTTTTCCCAACCCCCCCCCCCCTTTTCCCCCACTTCGCCGCGCCGCCGAAGACGCGCCGAAGAGCTGAGGTGCCGGGACAGATCGGCGCCCCGGGAGCTGCCCAGCTTCGAGGGGTTGGAGTTCGGGGCGCTGGGGCCCAACTTCTGCGCGCTGAGCTCGGCGCGAAAGGTGCTGCTGCGCCCCGTCCGGCGATCGATGGGCGGAAGCGGTCCGGCGGAACCGATCGATCGTGACGGATCGATCAAGCATAGGTGTCTAGGTCCCCCAGTAGTGCCCTTTTACCCTTTTTGGGGGGAGGTTTCCCCTACTAAAATAGACAAAACAGAGAAAAGGGTACCCTTCTAACCTCTTTACTGGAGGACCTAGGTGTCCTTTGTTAGGTTAGTTCGGTTAAGAATAGCAGGCACTGGTTTAGATGGGTTTGGTTACATTTACCAGGGAAACCCATCTATTTTTCCAAAAGGACACCTATGATCGATCCGATCCAGCCGCGGGTGGCGTGTGGCGTGTGGCGAGCGGTTGGTTGGGTTAGGGAATGTTAGGGAGCCCTCTCCACAAAAAGCGACACACGCAGAGGTTACCTCTTTGTTTTTGGTAACCCTATAGCCTACAGCTATTGGTTGGGCCTTGCGGAGTTGCCAGGAGATCTGGAGTTGGACATGGTAGGTGGCGGTGTTTCGTGTTTTGAGCCAGTCTGGGGAAACCAACAAGAACCTGTTTTTGTGGGTTCCCCTACTTTTGAGACCAACCGGTGCTTGCTTGGTGCGAGCGAAATAATATTTAGCTGTTCGAAACATGACTACTTCCCTAGTTGCTAGCACGATGTTTTACCTTGTGCCAGGGGTATAAGTATATCGGGCCAGTTGACAAAACACTGCAACCAGCTGATTTAGGGCCTGGTTCGATAGGCAGGGAATGAGTTGGAATGACCCGAGAAAAACCATCCCCTATGCCCTTCCAGTTCATTCCCGACACCCGACCTATCGCACCCGCAAGCCGCCACCCCCAGCCCACTGCCCTAACCCCGCCCCATCCCCCCCCCCCACCCCACCCAACCCCCGCCCCCCACCCCCCTACCCACCCCCACCCACCGCCCTATCCCCGCCCCAACCCCCCACCCGACAAAACCCCGAATCCGAAATCGGAGTCCGACTGAGTCGCTCCGAGGCACCTGGCAACGCCGTTCCTCTCCTCCCGCGCCTGCTTCGAGCATGAGCTGCCCTTCATGGAGAGGGTGGAGGCGAAGCTTTGGCCCCAAGATGGTTTTCCAGCAAGAAGCGCTTCCCTCAGTGGTTCAATTGGATATAAAGAGTTCTAACTAAGAACGGAAAATGAGACACTAAGAGCGGAAAAGATGGATACTAAGAGCGGAAGAGAGGGATACTAAGAGCGGAAAAAGCAATAGTTCTAGTAATAGTAGTAGTAGTAGTAGTAGTAGTAGTAGTAGTAGTAGTAGTAGTAGTAGTAGTAGTAATAGTAGTAGTAGTAGTAGTAGTAGTAGTAGTAGTAGTAGTAGTAGTAGTAGTAGTAGTTATAGTAGTAATAGTAGTAGTAGTAGTAGTAGTAGTAGTAGTAGTAGTAATAGCAGTAGTAATAGTAATAGTAATAGTAGTAGTAATAGTAGTAGTAATAGTAGTAGTAATAGTAGTAGTAATAGCAGTAGTAGTAGTAGTAATAGTAGTAGTAATAGCAGTAATAATAGTAGTAGTAATAGTAGTAGTAATGATAGTAGTAATAGTAGTAGTAATAGTAGTAGTAATAGTAGTAGTAATAGTAGTAGTAAAAATAGTAGTGATAGTAGTAGTAATGATAGTAGTAATAGTAGTAGTAATAGTAGTAGTAGTAGTAGTAATAGTAGTAGTAATAGTAGTAGGAGTAGTAATAGTAGTAGTAATAGCAGCAGCAGCAGCAGCAGCAGCAGCAGCAGCAGCAGCAGCAGCAGCAGTAGTAGTAGTAGTAGTAGTAGTAGTAATAGTAGTAGTAATAGTACTAGTAATAGTAGTAGCAATAGTAGTAGTAATAGTACTAGTAATAGTAGTAGTAATAGTAGTAGTAATAGTAGTACTAATACTAGTAATAATAGTAGTAGTAATAGTAGTAGTAATAGTAGTAGTAATAGTAGTAGTAATAGTAGTAGTAATAGTAATAGTTTTGATAGTAGTAATAGTAGTGTTCTCTGCTCCTCTCTACTACGACTAGTACTAGTACTAGTACTGCTACTAGTACTATTACTAGTGCTACTAGTACTACTATAAGTACTAGTAGTACTACTCCTCCTACTAGTACTAGTACTAGTACTAGTACCCTCCTACTAATCCTCCTACTAGTACTAGTACTAGTACTACTACTCCTTCTACTAGCTAGCACCTCGAAATCTTCTTGTCTGGCCCCGAAAAAAGCACCTCGAAATCCGGATTCCTTTTCTGGTCTGGCCCCGGAGAAAGGAATTCCGCTTTTCGGGCCCCATTGCCCGCCAGCACCTCGAAATCCGGATTCCCTTTCTGGTCCCCAGAGAAAGTAAATCCGCTTTTCGGGCCCCATTGCCCGCCAGCACCTCGAAATCCGGATTCCCTTTCTGGTCTGAAAGGGAATCCGCTTTTCGGGCCCCATTGCCCGCCAGCACCTCGAAATCCGGATTCGACTAGTAGCACTACTACTACTACTCTGCAACTACTACTACTACTACTACTACTACTACTACTACTACTACTACTACTACTACTATTACTTTTTCCGCTCTTAGTTGCTTTCAGTTTTCCGCTCTTAGTGGCTTTCAGTTTTCCGCTCTTAGTGGCTAATAGTTTTCCGCTCTTATTTCGCGCTCTCATTGGGTATACGACTGTATAGACGCTAAAGGGTTTTTCTGCCATATGACCCCCATTTTGCCAGTGGTTTGAGTGCCCAGGCGTAGGGTCTCAGAAACGGACTCCGGCAAGTCTCAATCTGCAAGAGACTTTCCTTCCTTTTCTCTCCCACCTTTTGGTTGCCAAAAAGAGTTGTTTTTTCTCTAGGTCAGGCTGGTTTGGCCCGTTTTGGTTAGGGACATGGCAGTTCAATCATGTTGTAACCAGAGGTCATGTTTTGCCCAGAGTCATGCAGCTTTTGCTGCTTCGCTACGGAGCCTTTGTGGTTCCCAGTATTTGGTTCACTGGGCAGGCCATTTGGACGTCAGGGGCCGAGTGCTGTGTGCACCTCCTGGACACATACCTCCAGTGAGGTCCATGTTTCCACGATTTTTGAGAAGGTTTGGCATCAAGAAACACCCCGTGGCCACTCGAGTTCTGGGATTCTATCAAAAACAACCTGGCCAGAACCAATTCTGGCTTCATGGCTCCGCCCAGAAAGTGGACATTGAGCCGAACTGTTTTCTTCACTTTTGACAGAAATTCTGGGGTTCCTTGCCCCCATCAAAACAAAGGCAAGGACCCAATTTAGATGATGACAATCCTTAGGTAAATAATGGTGGTTATACGAACCCCCATTGTTTTAATGGTGGTTTGATCCCTAGGGAGAAGAGCGACCCCCCCTTCCACATCAAGGTCCCATACTGCCGCGTTTTCCAGTTTGGGAATTGCCCCTACTGATCATTCGGAGGCTCTGGCGGTGGGGAGTTTCGTGGCAGTCTTCGTGTCTCCGCAGCGGCTGCCGCTCGGAGTTGTGTGCAGCGAGGGGGCAATTTGTGGAAGCCTGCATTCATTTGTACCCTTACCCCGGGTGGTGGCTTGGTACCCCCCCCCCTCCCTAGAAGGTACTCTGGCCCTTGTGGTCAGCTGGTACCTCCTTTCAACTCTTGGTTGCTGGGTTTTTTTGGTCGATACAGAGTTCAGGGGATTACCCTTTTTATTTGTGGGTCTCACTTGGGCAAGTGAGTTATAGCGTCCCTTTTAAGCCCAACCAAAAAGGCAGGTAGATTATCTGACTAGGTTTTCTCACAGTCACAGACGTTATTTCCCTTTTGGGGTTTCCCTATCCCATTCTATTCGGGCCTGGGTCCCCCCTTGTGTGACAGACACAAAAAGGGAAGGGGACAACGGCAAGAACCGCCATGTTTGAAGCTTCCAACCCGAAAAAAAGAAGAAGGACACGACACGTGGGCTCTCAAAAGCAAGGGGAGCCCGAAAAAAAACCTACTGGGGTGCCCGGGCCTCGATTCTGGGATCCGGCTTCGGTGTCCGAAGCCCAGCTTAAAGAGCCCGGTCTTTGCGGCAACCGGCGAGCCATGTGGATGGACGAAGTCTGTTTCGCACCTAAGACGCCCTGGAATGACTTGATCCCACTGTAAATACCAACAAGAGAATGGCTTCCCCATGGTTTCTTGGCTGGTGCGAAATGGATTCCGTCCATCCAGCAGGTTTTTGGGAAACAAGTGGATGGAGAAAAATAAAAGCTAGGCAGCCGCTTCCGAAGCCCAGTTTGAGCCCGGCCTGGTCTCTGCTTGGGATTTTGACCTTCCGGGTGTTGGGAAAATCGCTCCTTCGCCTCAGGCTCCGGATCTTCAGCACCTCCTTCCTGCCGGTGGCGGTGCTGGCCATGCGCCTGGACGCGAAGAAAAAAAGAGTGGCGTCTTTGCGCGGGGTACCCCGGAGATGTTTTTTGTGTCTTTTGTTTTCTTCTTTTTTTTCTCGAAGATCCGTTGTTTTTTGGTTCAGACGAAGACCAATAATTTCCTGGATCGATCCAGTGGCGTGTTTTTTCTTGTTTTTCTGTTTTTTTGTTCCATCCACTTTACCATCCAAAAACCAGCAAACAGCGACTGAAAAAAACGATCGCCACTTTGCTCTGCGCGGGGACCGTGGATATTTTGTTCTTCTTCGAAGACCCGCCGAGATAGCCAAGTTGCGATCGCTTTTTTCAGTCACCGTTGCTGGTTTTTGGGGTTTTTTGTGCGCAACTGGGGATCCAGGCGTTTTATTTTTCGCAGGCGGATGTTGGCCCCGGGGTCATCAACCCTGTATCAATCGGGCGTGACGTCATTGGGTTTAGTGGATCTGCGCCGAAGACCAGTCTTCTTTTTTGTACGGAGGTTGTTCAGCCCCGGTTTATTAACAGGGGGGGTGTAATTGAGCCGTTTTCTTTTTGAGGCGGATGTTGGCCCCGGATGGTGTTCAACGCCAGTGTATCAATTGGGTGTGTCATTGGGTTTAGTGGATTTTCTCCAAAGACCCTTTTCTTTTTCAGGCCCAAAGGTTGACCCCGGATGTTGCTCAGCCCCAGTTTATTAACAGGGGGGGTGTAATTGAGCCGTTTTCTTTTTGAGGCGGATGTTGGCCCCGGATGGTGTTCAACGCCAGTGTATCAATTGGGTGTGTCATTGGGTTTAGTGGATTTTCTCCAAAGACCCGTTTCTTTTTCAGGCCCAAAGGTTGACCCCGGATGTTGCTCAGCCCCAGTTTATTAACAGGGGGGGTGTAATTGAGCCGTTTTCTTTTTGAGGCGGATGTTGGCCCCGGATGGTGTTCAACGCCAGTGTATCAATTGGGTGTGTCATTGGGTTTAGTGGATTTTCTCCAAAGACCCGTTTCTTTTTCAGGCCCAAAGGTTGACCCCGGATGTTGCTCAGCCCCAGTTTATTAACAGGGGGGGTGTAATTGAGCCGTTTTCTTTTTGAGGCGGATGTTGGCCCCGGATGGTGTTCAACGCCAGTGTATCAATTGGGTGTGTCATTGGGTTTAGTGGATTTTCTCCAAAGACCCGTTTCTTTTTCAGGCCCAAAGGTTGACCCCGGATGTTGCTCAGCCCCAGTTTATTAACAGGGGGGGTGTAATTGAGCCGTTTTCTTTTTGAGGCGGATGTTGGCCCCGGATGGTGTTCAACAGTGTATCAATTGGGTGTGTCATTGGGTTTAGTGGATTTTCTCCAAAGACCCTTTTCTTTTTCAGGCCCAAAGGTTGACCCCGGATGTTGCTCAGCCCCAGTTTATTAACAGGGGGGTGTAATTGAGCCGTTTTCTTTTTGGGCGGATGTTGGCCCCGGATGGTGTTCAACGTGTATCAATTGGGTGTGTCATTGGGTTTAGTGGATTTTCTCCAAAGACCCTTTTCTTTTTCAGGCCCAAAGGTTGACCCCGGATGTTGCTCAGCCCCAGTTTATTCACAGGGGGGTGTAATTGAGCCGTTTTCTTTTTCGGGCGGATGTTGGCCCCGGATGGTGTTCAACGTGTATCAATTGGGTGTGTCATTGGGTTTAGTGGATTTTCTCCAAAGACCCTTTTCTTTTTCAGGCCCAAAGGTTGACCCCGGATGTTGCTCAGCCCCAGTTTATTCACAGGGGGGTGTAATTGAGCCGTTTTCTTTTTCGGGCGGATGTTGGCCCCGGATGGTGTTCAACGTGTATCAATTGGGTGTGTCATTGGGTTTAGTGGATTTTCTCCAAAGACCCTTTTCTTTTTCAGGCCCAAAGGTTGACCCCGGATGTTGCTCAGCCCCAGTTTATTCACAGGGGGGTGTAATTGAGCCGTTTTCTTTTTCGGGCGGATGTTGGCCCCGGATGGTGTTCAACGTGTATCAATTGGGTGTGTCATTGGGTTTAGTGGATTTTCTCCAAAGACCCTTTTCTTTTTCAGGCCCAAAGGTTGACCCCGGATGTTGCTCAGCCCCAGTTTATTAACAGGGGGGTGTAATTGAGCCGTTTTCTTTTTCGGGCGGATGTTGGCCCCGGATGGTGTTCAACGCCAGTGTATCAATTGGGTGTGTCATTGGGTTTAGTGGATTTTCTCCAAAGACCCTTTTCTTTTTCAGGCCCAACGGTTGACCCCGGATGTTGCTCAGCCCCAGTTTATTAACAGAGGGGTGTGATTGGGTTTAGTGGGGATTCATCACTTTTGGAGGGGCATTTTGCCCGGTTCAACTTTTTTTTTTGGGTGTTAGTTTCCATGTAGCACTAAAAGTTACAAACTTTTCGCAGGGCATCAGCAAAAGGACAGCCCAGTTTCGTCTCACGCCCTAAGTTTATGGACCTTGGTCATTTTGGGGTTGGAACCATGCAAGCAAACAGTTCTGACTTTTTCTGACCAGTCTGCGGGAGTGAGTTGTGATTAAATTGTAAACGGCAAGACACACCGGATGTTTAAGGTGCATTCGGTCAACAAATCCACACTTTTTGAAGCGCAGGCTCCGGTTGGTTGGTGGTTTGGATTTGGACTCGAGCGGTTCTGGAGGGTATATAGTTGAAACCCCTCCAAAAGACCAAACCACTGATTCGGGTCCAAATCACCAAACACTCAGTTGCCCAAAGCGAATCGACCTTACCCCTGAGGTTCAAACCACCATCAAAACAATGAGTATAACCATTATTTGCCAAAGGACCCAAATCGGGTCAACGGGTCAAGCAGTCTTTTCAAGGGGCTATGAACCCTATACCTTTTGGCTTCCCTGATTTGGCCACCAAAATTTCCAGAGGTCCCGAAAGCTGATCGATCACCTTGTGTCACACGGGGCAAGTCACCGAGCACTAAACACCGGTGGGTTCGCGCCAAAAGATAATCACTTTTGATTCCTGTGTCTTTTTCCATTTCCCTTGGATGTGTGATTTGGTCTTTGATTTCCTCACTCCCCGAATTCATGGGCGTTACCATTCAACGGGTGATCAGACTTGTGATCTGGAGTTTGATTTCCTCTCCCCTTGAGTTCATGGGCGTTAGTCACTTTTTGAGTCTTGACCAGTTTTGTAGTAAATAAGCCGTTTGGGCCACCTTTTGCGCCCAGTCAACTCAGGAAGTGTGAGGAATCCACTGACCAGAAGTTCGGCTTCCCCCCCTAATTGGTTTGGATTTGGATTTGACCCCCGGGTTCTTGTAGAGGGTAAATGAGACACAATCAAAACCTGGGTAGATGAAGGTTAAGGGACAATCCCAGCCATAAATAGTTGCGGCCGCCTTTCTAAGTTCTGGGTTCACCATTTTTGTACCAGGTTTTGAGCAAGTGACTCAAATGGGAAACCACCAATCCAAAAATCCAAACCACTCAGTCGAGGGAAGCTGATAAATGAGTTTCTGGGGAAACTGGGTCTTCATTCATTCATTTCATTTTGCACAGCTTCCCTGAGTTCCCTTTCCCTTTTCGGCGGTTGTTTTCCTCGGCTTTTGGGCCCAACGGAAAAACCCAAAGGAGGGTTTTCCCTTGGAAGACGCCCATTTCGCCCCTGAAACTGTATGACTGGCAGGGGTCCCACACCTGTTCCCAAGCCGGAGGAGCAACACGGGCCACACATTTTCCCCTTGGAAAAAACAAGAACGCGGAAGGAAGAAAAGGAGCGGGAAAAACCAGGCACGACAAAAACAAGCACGGGGAACAGCAACCGGGAAAACGGGGGAAACACAAAAAACCGGGGAAAACGCGGGAAGAGCAACGGTGAAAAGCAAACACGGAGAAGACAAACCGGACCCCGCGGCTCGCGGTGAGTTCCTCGCCCCAGGTGCGGGGACTGCGTGGCCATGGTGGGCTCCGATGAGCGGCTCTTCGTGGTGCTCCAGCGATGTCGTGGCCGGAGGCCGCGGCCCAATTGGCGCGCGGTTTCGCGCGACTGGAGGGCGCGCGGAGGGCGGTTGGTGCTGCCAAAGGATAACACAACTAGCCGTTATATCTAATTGTATAGATCTGTACAAATATAAAAGTATAGTATATATATATATGGCATAGGTCCCGTGTTCCGTGTTGCTACCCCCCCCCCCCTCCCCATATGGTATGGGTCCCAGGACCCCCACCCCGACCCCCTGAACTCGCACCCCGACACCCCGGCACCCCCACCCCCAGGACAAGCCAACCCGCAATTAACCATAAACCAACCCTAAACTAACCCTAAACCAACCCTAAACTAACCCCAAATACACCCTAAACCAATCCCTAAACAATAAACCCTTAACCTAAACCAACCCTAAACCAACCCTCAACTAACCCTAAACCAACCCTTAATACACCCTAAACCAAACCCTAAACCTTACATCTCTAAACCTAAACGAACCCTAAACCTAAACGAACCCTAAACCAACCCTAAATCAACATAAACCAACCCTAAACCAACCCTAAACTAACCCCAAATACACCCTAAATATACCCTAAACCAATTCTAAACCAACCCTAAACCACCACAACCCAACCACAGGACCACAACCACGGGAGGGGGGGGTACTTGTCCGACCCATGACCATTGGAGGGGGGGGGGCTGGCAACGCTGTACCATATATACATAGATACACATCCAAGTTTCTCCTGGGTAGTGGTTTGGGGCAACTAGTGGAAATAATTTTGGATTGTGGGGTCGGAAGATCTGGAGGACGCAGCCAGGCTTTGTAAAGATCAGAGCTTCCCCTGAAAGTGCAGTTGATGCCTGCTTGGAGGTATGCGGAACTCAAATGTGGAAGCTTATAGCCCCATATGTGTTTTGGAGGTATGGACCTTATATAGCTGTCGTACAAGGGGTATGGCCTTACAAAGTTGTGCCGGCGGAAAAAAATGAAAGAAACAAGCCTTCATTCCTGGGGCCAAACCATGCTACATCCTTCACTGTTCCAGAGTTGGACGAGCCAAGTTTTTGTTCTTCACTTATCCGGGCCCTGGGATTCCATTTGCATGTATAGATAACCATCACCTTGCCGCCCCTTGAGAAACCAAATGAATGGCCTGGGATCCACTGGGCAGGGAATACTAGGGGCAGGGCACTTAATAAGTGGTTCGTAAGCCGGTAAGAGGCCCACTTAGGAGACGAATACCCTCGGGTTTTGTGGGTTACAACCATGATCGCCACCCTGACGTACCCGATCGACTCCTGTAGAAGACCTTCCCTTAGTCTTCTTTGGGTTGTTTCCTTGTCCTTAGGGCTCCTTAAGGTTCCCAGGGTTCCTTGGGTTCCACAGCTCGCGCAACCATCCGCAGTATTCAGGGGGCAACCGTCGCTCGTCCCAAGGTTCCTTATCCTGAGGCTTCGCCAGGGTTCCTTGGCCTTGGGGTTCCTTGAGGTTGGTTCCGCAGTTCGCGCAACCATCCGCAGTAGTTCGGGCAACCGTCGCTCACTAACCAGTAACCTGACATACCCATATTGCCCCTTCAAGTAGAAGACCCCCCCCTTTCCCGCCGCGATTTTCCTTGGTCCTTGGGCTTGGTGACACACATCCGCAGTCAGCTTCTTCTCGCTCGCCAGGCGCGAGAACCAGCTCCACTTTGTCCTCCTCGACGTGGAGAAAGGCTCGCGGATCGCCGGCGGCCCGCTGCCGCTCTCGCCGGCCTCCACGCTGCGGTGGCGCCTCGGAGAAAAAGAACAAAAGCATGCTTCCCGTATCGGTTTCAACCAGGCGTTGGGGTGCGTCCATTTCTTTTTTTGTCCATTTGGGTGTTTGTTTTTTTTTTTTTTGGGGGGGGGGCACCTGGAGAGACCCGCAAAAAAGACACATCAATGTTTTTTGTTGGTTTCGCCCTCAATTTCGCAGGGTTGGTCGTGCCTACAAGGGTAATTACCAGCTGGGGCCAGTTGGCAAATCACCCAGGTGCCAGCTGATTTAGAGGATCCATAGGATCCCTAACAAAGAAACAGCATGCGTTTTTTGGATGTATCCTTGAACAACCCTGTTGCTCTCGTTGTTGGACGGGTTTTCCTAAATCAATGTTTGTGGTTGTACCCTTTGTTTCTTGTTTCCCCGTAGCATCAAGCAACAACGAAATTTAGCCAACAAAACAAATGTGCCAATTGTTGTTCTTTTCTCCCCACGCAAATCCACTCGGCTAAGGTTAACTTCTATTGTAAGGACGGTTTAAGGCTCTGTGTTTGTCAACTTCCCCCCCCCCCCCCTCCCCGCTTTTGGCGGGGATATATGTGTGACTTTGAGCAGGCCTTGACGTCTGAATTCGGTGACCTGAGTCGCCACTTTGGAGCGTGGGTTTGCGGATGCCACAGACATGCAAGTAAAACGCGCCACAAACTATCCCAGTGGATCCATTTACCTCTATAGTGTGTAACCAATAGAATCACCCTTTAAAAACTAAAAGGTTGCCTATACCCTACGTGTCAACACGAAGTAAACGAATTGTTGACCCAATTTGGATGATGACACTCCTAAGGCAAAAAAAACATGGTGATATGAACCCTCATTGTTTTGTTGGTGATTTGAACCTCAGGGTATATGGGTGTGGCTCAAATGAAGAGCTAGGGCAAGCCGCGGGTTTTAGTCTGTGGTTCCATTGACCAAGGTGCCATTTTGGTACATTTACTAGGTCCTCCAGATTTGAGAGGTTAGAATAAGGGTACCATTTCTTTTTGCCGTCTATTTTGGTATGGGAACCCTCCCAACCAACCAAAGTTGGTAGAGAAGGGCACTGTATTTGAGCCACAGCCATAGGTGTCCTTTTTGGTTGTTTTGCTAGAAAATACATGGCCCTGGTTTACCTGGTAGTTTAATCATCTACCAGGGCCATCTATTTCCCCCAAAAGGACACCTATGGCCACAGCCATATGGCTTTGCCTGGCTTTGACTTTTCGGGAAAAATCTCTCCGGACGAGAGAGGCCTCAAGGACTCAAGAAGCACGAGAGAGGTGCAGTGTGTCTGCGTATTTTACCCAGCTTGCCGTGAAGGTCCTTTGCTTAGGGATCCCTTTTCAGCTATAATTGTAGTAAACTCACTTCCTGAGTTCATGCACTTTAAACTTTTTGGGGTTTGGACCGTTTTGGTGGTAAATATCAAGGTTGGATTTGTTTTGGGCCATCCACTCAGTTAGTGAGTATTTTTTGTAGAATGGGTGTGTCGATGTTTTGGTTTGGTTTGAGTTGGCAGCCCTTGTTTGGTGGTTTTCAAGGGAAACCACCAGGACACAAACAGTGCGCTATTTTGGAGGGGGCCACACAAACGAAGGGCACACCCAAACATCCTCCTCTGGGTTCCCTTTGCAAGGTGGCAAATAACTTCTTTCCTTTTTTTTTTCTCGCACCTGGGGGTTTCTTTGGTTCCTTGGGCGGTAATAACTCTTCTTTTTTTTCCCCGGGTTCCTTAGTTCCTTGGGCAGTTTCGCCTTCCTTCCCCCTGCTCCCCAGCCACCACCCCTACCAACAGCTCTGCCTCAAGCGGCGTGAGAGCTCGAGGATCGGCTTCGAGGGCGCGCGGCCGCTGGCCTTGGACTCCGCGGGCCAGGTGCGGGCCCTGCACGGCCCAGGCGCGGGCGCGCGGGCGCGCGCGGGCGCGCGGGCCGGTGGGACCGGGGCTCACGTGAGGCGAGAGTTCAGCATAGCAGAGTTACAGCCGTGGTTTGTGGGTGACTGCTATTCAGGTCGCACTTCATTGGTGCTTTGGATATGTTTGGATTGGTGGGTTGGAGTTGGTTTTGCAGGTTGTTGCGGAAGGTCAACTAGGAAACCAGCCCTAGCCTTCAAACCGCCAATCCGCTGGGCTAGCTATGTGCATATCGCCGCCTTTTCTGGCAAGGTGTTTTGTACCCATGGATGGGTACTACTAAAGGAAGACCTCAACAGTTGGGATGGGGGTGTGGCTGACTTAAAATCAAATTTAGTCGACAATTTAATCGGGGATCCCGCACCCAGCGCAGTGTTTTCGGTACGTAGGGTTGTGCGCAAGTTCGAGTAGAGAAAGCCATGCGAGCACTCAAAACTAAACCACTTTGCATTGTGATTGAAGGGGGTCGTCACATGTTTGACCCCCGCGTAAGGCATCATTTGGCGGCGTAAGGCAAAACAAAAGTGGGTGTGTCGTTTGTTGATAGTGCTATTTGTTCAGTGGTTTTAAAGGGAAACGAGAAGGCAAACCACCATTTTTGAGGCGTAGCCTGCAAGTGCAGTGGGTGATCGCTTAAACTACCCTCGGCGTATGTCATTTGGTGAATAAAGACTCCACCCACCGGTTGGGATGGAGCCGCATGAATACTGGGATTGTTGAACCGGGATGTTGTTCAGCATATGTCAAAGGAGATAAGTCTCCGCCTCAGCGATTTTGAGGGTTCTGTCGGTTCATCGATCAAGAAGAACATATTGTTTGTAGTTTTCCGTGCACTGGTCAAGTGAGGGGTAGCAATCGCTTGTCCACAACAGCCTGGAAGTTATTTCGAAGAGTGCGGGATGTTCGCCTCATCATATGGCCTTATGTCCTTTTTCTGCAGCCCAGATGCATTGCGAGGAAGTGCCCCTGTGCGATACCTTTTTTTGCGGTGGCCCCTTTTATCTTGGATATTCTTGGATGTTTGCTTTCGAGAAAGTTGCAAATGGCCGTTCCAACGTCCAGTGAAAAAAGAGTTGCAACTGGCACATCCAACATGAGGCAGGGAGCCCACCGCCCTGCAATTTGCTCCGACAACCACCCTGGAGCACCCTTCGTTACCTAAATTTCTGCCCTTAGCCCAAACGTATTGCAAAACCAGGGGTCGTCACCAAAATATGGTAAACGTACACTTTTTCCTGCTTCGAGCGTTTTTCCCAAAACCGGGCTGGTCGGTCCTCCAAGATGATCTTTCGTTGAATTTTCGAAAGGAGCGAGCAGAAATCGAAGTGCAAAACGAGCGCAAATATCCGCAAAACGAGCGCAAATATCCGCAAACGAGTGCAAATTTAAAAACCGTAACAATGCCCGCCTTCCTCTGGATGGAAGAAGGGGATTTGGTCGAGCGTTTTTCGGGGGGCGAGCGTTTTTTGGGGGGTCGAGCAGAAATCGGTAATTCGAGCGTTTTTTTCTCGTACCTAAAAAAAAGGGCACGTTGGGTGCCTCAGGACTCCTTAGTGTGCATATTGCGGGGGTCTCACAGACCATGTGGAGGGTGTTGAAGACATGTCACAGTGGATAGTTGCGAAAGCCTGCACCTAAAAGACGCGAGAATGATTCGATTCCCCAGTACATACCTGCAAACAATGGTTTCAACCATGGTGTCATTTCGTGGTGCGAAATGGAATTCGTCCATGCGGGCAGGTTTTTACAGCGAAACCGCAAGGAACAGCGCCAAGATAGACCCATTTGGAGGGTACTGTTGAGGATGTCTCACCATGTCTTGCCTTGGTGGCTCCCAGCCATCCCCTTAGCTTTTTAGCTTTTTAGTGTTTAGTGGTTGGATTCCCATTTCACCCACCAAAAGTTAAACCCTTTTGGCGGGGGATCAGAAAACAGGCAGCCCAGTTACTAACCCTGCGGCTAGGATTTGATTCCTTGTCCATTCTTTTCAAGCATCGTTCTTTCCAACAACCGGATTTCCGTTTTCAACTTGGGTTCCCGGAGGCTTCGAAAGAAAGATCTCCGGATCCCTGGGTGAATGGAAATGGGAAGGTGCCCCTCCATGGGTAATTGATCTGCTCAACTTGGGATTTGGGAGTTGGAATTTGGGAAGCCCGGATTGAGAGCCTTCTTTGAGCTGGAAAAACGTATGATACCCCTATGGAATTGGAAGGTACCCCTCACGCCTGGCGATCCTCAGAGGACGCCTGGCGGAACCCCGACAAGTCGAGTCTCGAGTCCAGGCTGGGTGCCGGTGGCGCAGCTGAGCCCGCCGCTGGCCGAATGGGCGGAAGGGGCGGAAGGGGCGGACTGGGCGCGCGATCCTGGGGTCCCATGGGAACCTTTGCCCATGTTGTTTCGCCCAAAAATGTGGAGACGACCCAAACATGGGGTTGTCTCGATGTTGAGACATCCCCACAAGGGACGTGTTTTTTTTCTTTCTTCCCTGTCAGTAAGCTCAATTCTAAGGGTGGATTCTCCATGCTCTTCGCCCATGGTTCTGCGAGAAACCAGACGCTTCCCCCAAGGATTGGCCCCCTAAGAGGCGGGTGCCTGAAAAAAAAGGGGGAGTTATGGGCCAACCCACCGCGGCTGCTGCACCCAAACTTTGTTGCACTTGGCTTGGATGTTAGGACTTTGATGTTTTGCCAACTAATGTTTTTGTTCCCCCATTAAACGACTCAAAGTCAAAAACTTTTAGCAGGGGAGCAGAAAGCAACCGAGAAACGTCCATTACCCTCAAGGATGCTTTTTCATTTCCCCTGTTGGGTTAGAGGAAATCGATTTATCTCTTGGACATATGGTTCTATTAAGATTCGCCAGTTTGTAGGTGATGAACCGTTGGTTGCAGAGTGTTTAGTTTGTTGGTGCGTTGGTTAGTTGGCTTCATTTGCGTTGAAGATGATTTACTTTTTCCCCTGTTGGGTTAAAGGAAATCGATTTCACTCCTGGAAATATGGTTCTATTGAGATTCGCCAGTTGGTAGCCTGGAAATATGGTTATATTGAGATTCGCCAGTTGGTAGGTGATGAACCGTTGGTTGCTGAGTGTTTAGTTTGTTGGTGCGTTGGTTTGTTGGTTTCATTTGCAGTCAAGATGATGTACCTTTTTCCCTGTTGGGTCAACTGGAAGAATGGTTCTGTTTTTTTTCCAGGGGGACGTATCCGCAATTGGAGGGAGATCAAATGGGTGCCCCATGGTCATTTTAGGGCAAACCCTTTGAAGTCTGGGTTGCTTTGCTTGTTCCGGGACAACTATCCACTGCGGGGCCTTTTTCTCTTCTTTTTTTTCGGGGGAAACCAACGCCCTCCATAGGCATCCCCTGCTGGCTATGGAACCACCAAGTGGGGTCGCCCGAAAAGAGGTCCCAGGTGATTTTGGCGCGGGCGAGGAGATTCCCTACGTGCAGAGTCTTTACAAGAAAAAGAGGCGAGCAAGATTCACTAGGTCCGGAACAACGTCATCAAGATGAAGGTGGCTGACCCGCAGTGCAAGTTTCGGTTGGGGACGAACCTGGGGCCGATCCGTGAACAACTCAAGACAGAGAATGTTCGTGAACAAGGGCTTGAACAGCCAGAGTGCTTCTGGGTGGAGCTGTCTGCGTACATCGCAGAGTACGGCGTCGAACCTCGCCCGGATGAGATTGTCTACGAGACGGTGAACGGCGCGCGCCAACAGGGCGTAAATGTCCTGACAGGAAAGCGGGGGTGGCACAAGCGATGCGATCGCGATACCACCCGCGTCAACAGGTCAGCAGAGTTGACGGACAACACGATCGACGCGACAGGGAAGGCGATCCCCCCGTAGTGCCCTTTCTCACCCTTTTTGGGGGTTTTGCGTGCCCCTACTACACTAGGCAAAACCGGAAAAAAGGAATAGGGCGCCCTTCTTCTAGCCTCTCAAAAATCTGGAGGACCTAGGATTCATGTCCTGGTCGCCCCTCTTCGGCCGTTTTCGGCCGGGCCTTCCGCGACGGAAGCGTCCCGAGGCATCAGTGGCCCGTGGAAGCGGATGGCAAGGTGCTGCGGTGCCTCGAGGCAGATCGAATTCTTCTGACCCCTTCTGACCCTTGAAAAAAGGAAATGCGGGGTCATGACAAAAGGAAATTGGGCACTCCTGCTGAGCCTGAGAAAAAAAGAAGATGGGGTCTCGGGACCATAGCTGTCCTTTTTGGTTGGTTTGGGAGAAAAATGGAGGGCGATTCCTGGTTTACCTGGTGGTTTAATCATCTACCAGGGCCAGCTATTGCCCCTAAAAGGACGCCTATGGTCAGGACCCGTTTTATTTTGGGCACGGACCAACCATTTTCTAAGGCTCAGAAGGAGACTCCAGGTGGATGTTCGTCACTTTTTGATGGCTTGGAGCATTTTGGTGGTATACGCGAAGTCTAGACTGGGCCAATCCACGCGATCGGAAGCGAGCCTACCCGTTTCGGTGGGAAGCAGGTTGTTTCAAGGATTACCACTGTCTTAACGTTTCGTCCCGGGAAGTTCCACCCTTTGTCTGGAACCGGCAAAACCTCTTGCATAGAAACTCCGCCGCCCTTGTTTCGGGGTTTCCTAGATAGCCAAGTTGCTGCTTTTTCACTGTTGCTGGTTTGTGGGGTAAAGTGCATGGAACAAAACAGCAACTGGCGATCCAGGGAAGACCCGTTTGCTCGGACACGCGCCCTTGCTTAGTTCTTGAAAAATATTTCAAACAGAATTCCCACCCGAAATCCAAAGGGAAACCTCTCTTTGGCCAACCTTCCCTTCGGCGTTACTGCGCTCTCCAAGAAACAAATATGCTAGACCAAATATGGGTATTTCACACAATTCAGGTTCCCCTGCAGGTTGATTTTGTTTAGACTCTTAAATGCCACCCCCCAAAGTGGGTCCATGCCCTATTTTGAGACACACCCAGATGAATCTGAAGATCTGCGCCCTGTCCTGTTTGGAGAAACGCCGATCTGGACCATCTGAAGCTCTCTACAGTTGTGTACCTGGAGTCCCCATGACCCTGAACAAAATGGGTTCATGATCCCTTCTCTGGAACATTTGGGGTACTGACTCCCCCCATTTTTCCGGCGCCGCCCGAAAAATGTGTCCCCCTTTTAAGCACGCCCCAAAAAAACACCGCCCTCGGCTTCCCCCCCCCCCCGAATCGCGCATCAAATCGATCCGAAGCGAGCCGAAGCGAAGCGATCCGTGGCCGGCTGCGACGAATCGATCGAATCGATCCGCGTCAAGGGACAAAATCCAGGGAATATGTTTCCTACTTAAAATAATCTTAAATAGCCCGATGTTGGCCAAAACACGGCCTTTTCTAATACATACTTTGTCCAAAATAGGGAAACACAGGCCAGTTTTGGCGAGGCGAAGAACGGCGAGGTCCGCGTGGGCGCGGCAAAGCGGCTCAGCTCCGTGGCTCTGCAGGCGCGAAGCGGGCGCTTCGCGCGCGGCGAGCGCTTTGCGGAGGGCGGATGGAGTGGTGGGGCGGAAATTTTGGGTCTTCATGCCATGGGTGCGTTTTTTTTTTCACCCACTTTTTATTTTCTTTTTTTTAGGTTGGCACCTGGGAGGGTTCTCAACCCTACTGCAATAGACAAAGCAGAAAAGAGTTGGTACCCTTCTGACCTCTCTGCTGGAGGACCTAGGGGAAGATGGCGGGTTTTGCCAACTCGAAGGGCTTGGGGCGAAAAAGCGGCGAAACAGGGGCACATGTGGGGGTTTGAGCGGAAAAATACATTTGGGGGCGCAGCCGGGAAGTTTTGTGGCTTTTGCGGAATGACATAGGGGCTCAACCAGGAAGTTGGGTGTTTTTTTTTTTAACAGGACGAAGGTAGGTGGGGAGGGGAAAAACCAACCAACTTTTGCCGGTTTGGCGAACACGGACGCGCATGAAGACTTCACGCAAGACGCCTCGTGCGTGGCGGACCTCAAGCTGCACGGCCTGAGGGATGAGTCGCTTCCCGCGGGAGGTCAGGCGAACAGCTGCAAAACGCCACGAGGGAAGTGGCAGGCGCGCCAGTTTTTTTCTGCTGAGGGTGCCCTTGTTGAGCCGGAGCCAACAAAAAGACATTTGACAAAACGATGTCCAGGGCCCGCCTGTCAGTTTCCATGTAAATGGGTGAGAGGGTAATTGATTGAGGACCTTTTGCGCTTAGAGATTGCCTGCTGCCAGTTGGAAGCCAAGAGCAGGTCAATGAGCATCACAAAAGGCTTGCCTGGGTGACTCTGCCTTTTTGGGCTTTGTTTGTTTTCAACTAACACGTCCTAACTTGCATCGGTTTCACTCGTGCCCAATCCTTGGCTTACGGCTGAGTTGCACCGAAGTGACGACTTGCTACCGACTCTGAGCGGTTGCGTGGGCAACCAGTTTGCTTCTGTTGACCCCGGGTTAATAAAGCCGTCCTATGAATAGGTGCTCCAAAAGTGGTCTGATTGCAAGTTCTTCCCATTTCGGAAAGCGAAGGGCTAGAAGTTCCAATTGACATGTGCGCCACGTGCGCCGCTAAAAAAGTCAGGGCCCCTTGCCGAGGATGGGAAAAATAATCCAACTCCCCTTGGCAGTTCCTCAATTCATGACTTCCCTTACTCTGGATGGGCACCTAAGAAGCCCCTGAATGATTCGATTCCACAGTGATTATTTCTAATACCATATTTCAGTCTTGCAGAACACTATTGACGGAAAGCGCCGGATTTTCTCCGGGACACCGGCCGACAATTCGCCATAAGCTGCGGACATATTTCCTGCAGAACGTCCCTTTTTGCTGGTTGCTGTTCATTGTTGTTCATGCGGGGTGCCTTGTTTTCGGGGGCCCCCAAACAGGATGTTGTTTTTTCTGTTGGTTTCCTGAAACGACGCCCCCAAGCAGGGTTTGGGTAAACGTTGTGAAAGGAACCGAGGCACTTCCATGCCTATGGTCTTCACAGGAACCCCCCAAAGAGCAAAGAGGGGGGACCCCTCTGCCAATGGTCCCCCCAAAGAAAACCAAAAGGAACGCTACCCTAAAAGTCGCGAACATCGCCCCTGTTTGGGGAATTGGCCCTTGACAACCACATGAGTGAAAAAGGTCAACCCTTGTCCGGTTCCTTCGGGATTTAGTTGTTTTAGTTGGTGTTGGTGTTGGGTTTCCATTCAACCCACGAAAGCTTCAACTTCAATCCACGGGGATCGATCGCTCCCCTGGGACCTTTGCGAGGCCCCGTTCGAAAGCTTCGTGCCGCTGGCGGCGTTGGACAGGGACCGCGCGGCGCGCAAGGCGCATGGATGGGCTGGATTTGGAGGGCGGAGTTGCGCGGGAGGGTTTAAAGAGCAGCCTTACTTGGATGTTTAGCTATCACATATATAGCTCAAGACCTAACTAAGGCATACATACATATATATATATATATATATTGTATATATGATAATGTAGAACCTTGGCTCATCCGGTTCGTTCCTTAATTTGTTGTTCTTTTGATGTAAGAGGGTTTAGTGGTTGGTTTCCGTATTTAAGCCACCAAAAGTTGTTGGTCACTTGTAGCAGGGGATCTGAGGAGAAAGCAACAGGAACCCCGTCATTCTGGGCTGTTTAAAGGCAATCCCTAAAACCCTTGCTTTGGGTTGATTTTTTCCTCCTTTCCAGTCATTTCCATGGACTGTGCAATTAGGCTTGGCCAAGCCTTCATTTTGGACAGCGGCTTCACCCCGACATTCACCAGTGCATGTTTCCTTGCCACCCAAAAAGCGACAAGCCTTCGGCAGGGAAGACTGGGCCAGGACTCACGAAGTCTTCGGTTCCCTTGAGCCCCTTCGGTTTTTCGTCTGCCCCACAGCGCTCGCTCCTATCCAAGCTCGCAAGCGCAGGGGGGGAAGTCCTTAACTCACTTCCTGGGTTCATGGACTTTAAACTTTTTGGGGTTTGGACCATTTTAGTGGTGAATGTAAAGTTCGGACTTTTTTTGGGCCATCCACTCAGCAAGTGAGATTAACGGAAGGGGTCCTACGTCAAAACATCTGGGCATTCCATAGCAACAAATCAATCAGGAGGGGGGGGGTTCCTCAAACGCGGCGACACGCCCGGGTAAAACATGGGGAACACATCGCCAGGCGGCGCTGCGGGTCTTTGAGGAGCAGGTGAAGGCCAAAGAGTCGGAGATGCTCGGCTGATCTATGATATCAACTTGCACCTGCTAAGGGCAAGTGATGTCTGGGTGGGGAGGGTGGGTCCTTTTGTCCGGGCAATGCAAGAGGGATGCCCATTATGTTCCTTTGGTCACTTCTTTTTTCAAGTAATCCCCATTCTAACTACTCAAGCCCTTACAGTACCCCCCCCAGTTGAGGGTGGGGACCATCTCATGAACTTCAAAGTGCAAAGTGGGGGTATCCGCTTAAAAAAAAACAAAAAAGACGGGGGTGCCCTTTTTCTTCCCATGGACATCTATCTGTTGGTTGGAAGGGAGGCAAGGAGCTGGGACCCAGTATCCAAAAATTGCATCTATAGGAGCCTTGCGGAGCCAGGTCTGGTGAGGGGCATGTTTCTCCCATAAAAAGTCCACCAGGGACCCGCTCTGGATACTCAAGTATCCCCACCCCCTTAAAAATGAAATTGGGGGAGGGGGATCTCCCTTGGAATTCCAGTCTTGGCAGCCCATTTTCCCTTTCCTGGGGAAGACGAATGGAATCGGGGGTTCTTTCCCCCCACCCCCCTCCCACGCTATCGGTACGGGGGATTACCCGCTCTCGTCTCCTCTCGGAGCCTTCCCTGCCCCTGCGGTTCCAACAGCCACTAAAGCAATGGGGGTTCAAATATGGCCACCATGATTTAGCTAAGGAGCGTCATCATCCAACTTGGGTCAACCATTCTTTTACTGGGCGCTGAACCCGAGGGTTGCGCTTTGCGGCTCCTTGAGGCTCGCGCTGGACGTGGCGCGGCACTTCTTGGCCGAGGTCCCGGCAGAGACGCTGCAGGCCATCGCTGAGAAGGCCTCGGGATCGATGGGCGGGGAGGGAGGGATGGAGCATCATGGCACCCAGAAGGCTGGGGTTCAACCCCCAACTAAAAGAATGGTTGACCCAATTTAGATGATGACAATCTTTAGGTAGATAATGGGGGTTATATGAATCCCCATTGTTTTAATGGTGGTTTGAACCCCAGGAAGTGCTTCCGTGTTCTGCAACTTTTGTTTGGAAAGGTGCAACAACAATGTACAAGGAGAGCATCTAACCAAAAAGAACCGCCCTTAAGCTGGTTTTGGGGAATGAGTTGTAAGACTTGCAGATAAGTGGTACTGGTACTTGTCTGGTTGAATGAGGATTGCGACGGAAGCATGGATCTAGTTTGAGCGGGATTGGTGTTCTCCTTAGCTTGCCAGTGTTTTGTCCAGCGGGAGCAAGCTTCAATGCACCGTGATTTGCGGTCAGGGGCATCTCCGTAACCAAAGGGGAGCCAACCATGTAAGAGGAGCCTTGCGGAGCTACCAGGACTAGGTCCCTCACTCCTTTTTTGGTTGGTTTTGGGTTCCCCTACCAAAAAAAACAAACAAACAAAAAGGTTGGCACCCTTATTCTAACCTCTCTGCTGGAGGACCTAGAGGAGGTCTAGGGACATGGTCGCTTCTGGTTGTTCGAGCCAGCCGGAGAGCTGGTGCCAGTCGCGATCTTGGTACGAGCAGGGCCCCCCGCTCCTTTTCCCAGTTGCCCAGTAGATTCCGCCCCTTTTTGCAACTGGGTATGGCTCAAAATTAAAAAGCAGGGGTTACGCAGGTTTTGGTCCATGTGAACCCTTACCTGTGCCAGGGTTCCATTTTGGTATCGGTTTTTCGAGCCACAGCCAACTATTTTTTGGGTTTTGGGTTCCCCGTTAAACTCAACCAACCAACAAAGGATGCCGATCCTTTTTGTCCAATGGCCACGGGGCATCTGAGTTTTTAGTGGGGGTGCCGTTGTTGCGGGTTTTGTGCGGACAACTCGAACGGGGCTGGACTTCACAACCAAACTTTGTCAGAATCGTATAGCATACTCCTTACTCCAAATACCCGCTTTTTAAGGGTATTTTTGGGAAAGCCCGGTTTTTCAAGGTAAATACCTCCTTTTTCAGTAGAGGGCCGACATGATACCCGAATAAAAAAAAACCGCGTATTGGGTGTAAGGGGTATACTTGGCTCTCCTGGGTTGGATCTTTGGACTTGAACTGTTTTCGGAAACAACAGGTCACTCGCCTTTTTTGAAATGGCCTTTTGCAGGGACTTCGAAAAGTTGCAGTTTCAATGGAACCCACCAGTAAATTGCAACTCTTGGGGAAATCCAATGGCCCCTGTTTTGGGTTTCCTTTATTTCCCTGTTAACCACCTAGAAATCGCCAAGTTGCGATCAGTTTTTTTCAGCCACTGTTGCGATCGGATCAACAGCAACCAGGTGAGTTGGTTCGCCCCTACGACGTGGCGAGTGGTTTGTACCCATGGATGTAATTGTGGGAGAATCATCCCTGGGGTTCGAACCACCATTAAAGCAATGGGGGTTCGTATAACCACCATCACCACCTTTAAAGCAATGGGGGTTCATATAACCACCATCGTTTACGTAAAGAGTGTCAGCATCCAATTGGGTCAACCATTCTTTTAATGGGGGGTTGAACCCTAGGGTAATGTGTGTAATTGTACTGCGTCCTTGCCTTGTCTTCCGCACGTTAGACCTGGGAATCAAATGGCTACAGGCATACCGTTTAGGGAGCGACGCCTTTTGCTACCAGAAATCCGCTGTTGTTTGTGGTTTTTGAGTGAAACTAAGGGAAGCCCACCTTTCTGGGGGTCCGACTCCCAAAAAAGGGCAGCCGTCCATTCAGCTCGGAAACATTTCCGGCTGAAACCAGCCCAGGCCAGTCTACCGGAGCTGGCGCGCCGTCTGGGAAACAAGAAGCAACGGCTGGAGTGAGGCTCAACTTGTTTGCTTAGCTTGCCACGAGCGAGCTCGAGACTTCCCGACTCAGCGCGCAGGGACTGAAAGGTCCACACCTGGTTGTTAATGGGAAACATTTTGCATGTTTGCTTATTGTGGTTTAGTGGTTGAAATCCCCACCTAACTGCTAAAATGTTATTTGTTGCTCCCAAGCACAGACAGGCTACACCCAAAATCAATCAACTCATTTCCCGCGAGCTTCTGGACGTTAGTCACTTTTCTCGGACTAGGGTTTTCAGTATAGTGCCCTTTTACCCTTTTTTTGGGGAGGGTTCCCCTACTAAAATAGACTACTACAGAAAAACCGTGTACCCTTATTCTAACCTCTCCACGGGAGGACCGTGGAAGATACAGAGTTTGGACTCTTTTGGGCCATCCACTCGCTTCGGAGGCAAGGCAAGATCTGTAGTGACGTGGTGAAGCGCGGGCTGACCCATTTGGCCGGTTTCCCTCAAGTTTCCCTTTAAAACCAACCGCAAGAGGGCCACAGAAAAAGGAACCACAGCAATTTAGCTTAAGTGTTCAAACTAAGAACGAGAAAAATTGCAGACTAAGAACAAAAATAATAATACTAAGAGCGGAACATATTAGCCACTAAGAGCGGAAAACTGGAAGCCGGTTTCTCAGAAGTGTTTCGCTTGTTAGGATTTAGTACCACACGCCTCGAGCTCCCGGCGGGCGGTACGGCTGAAAGTGACCGCGCTTCTGCGGCATGTGCGGGGAAATGCATGGCCGTCTTCCGGCAATCCTTGATCAGGTTGTCATTTGCGCCTAAGACTCGGTTGTTCTTAAAACGAATCGACCTGAACTGACCTTTTTGCTTTCCCATGTTGGCCCAGATTCAGTCATGGCAACCCAAAAGGCAAGAGGGTTGCATCTTGAGTGCCATTGGGTTGGATCTTTAGACTTCAACTTTTTGGGAAACAAAGGTGCTTTCCACTACACCCCCAAAAAGTTAAGCTTTTTGCAGGGTGTCAGAGCAACCAAGGTGTGTCTGTTTTTTTGTTTAATGTCCTGCAAAGATGAACAAGAGCAAGGCTTCCATTTGGTTAAGAACATGTTTCATGTTCCCCTGTTGGCTTTTAAAGAAGATTCATCACTACTGGAAATATTCGTATTTTTCCCAGGGGGCTCAAGCTGGAGGCAGGCAACGTAGATTGGCAGCTCCCTTGCTGGCGTTACGGCGTTTCCTTTGTAATGTCCTCCCTCCCACTTGGAACCTGAGTGGAGGTGCTGCACTTAAGGGACCAAGAGGCAGCTTGCGTATGGGCTTTAAGAGGGAGGGTAGCGAGCAGCTAGGAATCTTCGCAACATGAGTTTTCCGCGAATTTTTGGAATGGAGGATTCGGGCAACGAGTACGACACTTGGAACATGTCATGACCTGTCTTCTTGGGTGCGAGTGTTTTCGTGCAGCCTCAAACGCCTGTTTGAGCCTTTGAATAATGGCAATATTTGCTCACTGGCTAGCAAAACACCTGCTTCACTTGTTGCATGCGCTCAGCTCGGACCCATCAACCCAGCTTCTTTCAGGTCAAAAGCCAGCAAACAAACCACTAAAACAAGAAAGGAGTCAGAGAACCCCGAAACCGAGATCTGCTTTGATACCACATTTCTCGAATCACTGAATATGCGCCATAATGGAATCAGAGGGCTATTTGCTTCACCTTCTTTGTAATGACCGTTTTGTGTTCAAACCACCAACAATTTGATCTTCCAGGACCCTGAAAAAGCAGGCCTTCGGCATGTTCTTCCTTGTTTCAACCAACAGCAACATCAAGAAGGGCCCGGTTTTTGCGTGCCCTTGGAAGACCAAGGATTTCATTCATCCAAGTGGCGAACCAAAAGGGCACCATCTGAAAAAATATTGACGGCCACTACAGCCGACGCCAAACTGGACCCTACAACCTAAGCCGCCAGCAAGAGATTGCCGGGTTGGGGCAAGGGGTCGAGTCGTACGACGCTTTTGGGGTTCGAGCGATCTGACTCGAAGCAAAAGAGGCCGAGAGCTGCTGGGCGCTTTTCCACGAGGTGAAACCTATGGGAAAGTGCGAGGACGTCTTGTTCGTATTCACTGCCTTCCCTGCTAAATCACAGACTGACTCACCTTATATATATATATAAGTTGTTGGTTTGTTGTTATATAAGTTGTTGTTTTGTTGTTGCTTTTTTTGTTTGCGGGGGGGGGGGGGGTATGAACATCAGCGAGCCTGTTGGGGTCATTTATTCAAGGGGTATGTAGACGGGTACACACATCTTACCCAGGTGAGTGGGCGGAAACCTATTTGGGCCAACCCCTGTCGTTTGAAGAAAGTGCTTGTGGCTTCTTGGAAGGTGGCCAGGGTTTGGCGGATTGAACGAATGTTACAACCCACACTGGCGGCGACACCTGTTCTTGACTGCTGTTGGGTTGGATCTTTAGACTTCAACTTTTTGGTTGAAAGAACGGTGTTTCCACTAACCCCCCCAAAAGTGGTCCACTTGTTGCAGGGGGGGCGTTACAGCAACCAAGTGAATTTTCATCCAAGTCGCGAAGGATGTCATTTCTGGAGGCGTTGAGACCCGAGGGTTGCAAGAGTGAAGCGCATGGAGACTGAAAAAAGTGTCTGGTAGTCTAGCTGTCCGAAAGTTTACCCGTAAAAAAACCCACAGAAATCCCCCCCCGGTACGGAGCTGTTGGTGGGAAGGGAGCCGGACTGGGAGCTGGGTATCCAAATTTGGTGAGCTAAGGGAGGTCTGGCGGAGCTACAAGGAGGTCGTAAGATTCCTAGGCTTCAAGACTCCTAAGCTCAGGGAAGAACACCCTAGCCGTCCACGGTTGCCAGGATAGAATTGGACGCTTGAGGATTCAACCGCCCTGGGTGTCGCTTCCCTAGGCATCACACAGTTTTGAAGCCTAGTATGCCACTATGCTGGGAGGGAGTGTACAGCCACAATCTAGCCGCAAGCTCCTAGATACTCCCTACTATCCAGCCCATTGATTTAGGGACTTGGGCTTGCTCGGACACCCTCGATGATTTGGGGAATCTCCGCATTAGGCATGTCTCCAAAGTTGAGTCCAGTCTGGCCCCAGTTGTTTGTGTGGATGGAGGCTTGGTCATTGGAGTCATGCCGACATGCGCAATGCTTCCTTTTCCCTTTCTTCCACGGCTTACAAATGCACAACCCGCCATACTTAAATTGTGTTGGAGAGGGTGGGGTTGGAGTGTCTTGGAGGTGGGTGGGTGGGTAGGGGGGCTGGAGCCATTCTCTTCGTGCATAGCGTGCAACGCGCGTGCGGCCTCAGACTGAACCATGCGCGGTTGAATTCGAAGGCAATCCGCAAGATCCGTGGTTTCGAAAGCATGTGGTCCCCTTTGTAGTGGCTGTCCAACAATTAGGGACGATGGACAATCGGATTAAATTGGCAGCACCCAAGTTTTGAACAGCCCAGCAGGTAGTCTTTTTCAGATTCAGATGATGGAACCACGTAAGTCTTTGCTGACTTCCCAGACGTCTCGGAAAACGATTCGTTTCGTTTCAAGGCTCGGATCTCCCTTTAAGCCCCACGGGTTCCGACGGAGGTCTTTTTCGGCTCAGCTGCTCACATAAAACTTTTTGGCTCAGCTTTCCGGATCTAAGTAGACCCCTCCCATTCTTAGGGGGTGAACCCCCTCCAAAGGCGGTCTGAATCCCCACTAAAACAAATTGGACACCCCCCCATCAAAATCAACCTGGGGTTCTGCTTAATCCGGGGTTAACATTAGTGGTGATTTCCACTAAACCACTACAAGCTTTCGACTTTCAGCAGGGGATCTGGGAACAGCCCAGTTTCATGCATGCGAGTTGCCACTCGTTGCCCACTCGCTCCAAACTGTCTGCAACCGCGTTGTGTCCATGCTTTGCATCGCCGTAGTGCAGGCAGCAGGTTTCGATGATGCGTGTGGCGACCGCAGCTGCTTTCAGAATTGCGAGCATGTCTTGAAGTTTGGGCAGAGGATTGCATCAGCTTGCCTTCGTCATTTCACCTACGCTTTTCTACTGCATGTGCAGTAACCCACTCCACTTAGACTCCCCACGCCTTTGGAAGAAGCAGGCCAGTTCCTTCAGCCACACACACACACATTCTCTGCCAAGGTCGCACGATTTGGGACGGCTTCCGTTTCCTTGACTGAGGTACCAAGTGATCTCAAGACGTGCATGCAAAAGAGTTGACTCCTTGAGGCATTCCGCATCAACGCCTGACTTCACCAGGTGCAACCGGGCCCCAAACGGGCGCCCTTCATTTCACGACGCGAAGTATTCTCCCCGCTTCGAGCGGGCAAAGTCAGCCGAAGTCAGCGCATTTGTAGCGCCGCGATGGCGCTGGCGCTGTTCGGCCAGGATGACAAGCCGAAGTGGCGCCGGCCCCGGGTTCGGATCTTGAGTTGGATCGCGAAGGTGTTTGGAGTCTCGGAGTGGACGTGTGAAAAAGGTCGCACTGAAGGAGCTGGAACAGGGTTCCCGAGATTTCTCTTGGTGGTTGTAAACATCTTCTTTGGTCACTAAGTAACCCCTTCCCCCTAGTAATAAACGACCCTCCCCCCCCTAATAAAAAAATCCCGGCCAGCGAAATAATTTTTATTATTAGGGGTCCCCTGGATCTGGAAGGCAGGTTTTGGAGGTACCTCTTGTTCTGCGTAGGCTTGTCTGCAGCTGTGGTCCCCCTGTTCCGGTCCCTAAAACCGCCTCAAACGTACATTTTCGAGTAAGGAGTTTTAATAGCGGGAGTTGAGGTTATGTTTTGCAGTTTTTGGTTGTGGGTTTTGCAGTTTGAGGCGCCCTCTGACTTTGACCACCCGCCTTTGTAGCTAATTCTTTAGTTGGCACAGCCTGCCGGTATCGAAGGAAACGTGCTCCCGGAAGCTCTGGCTCAAAAGTCGCAACTTTGTAGTGCAGCCGTAGTAAAGGAAACGTGCTCCCGGAGCTCTGGCTCGAAAGTCGCAACTTTGTAGCACAGCCGTAGTAAAGGAAACGTGCTCCCGGAGCGCTGGCTCGAAAGTCGCAACTTTGTAGTACAGCCGTAGTAAAGGAAACGCGCTCCCGGAGCTCTGGCTCGAAAGTCGCAACTTTGTAGTACAGCCGTAGTAAAGGAAACGTGCTCCCGGAGCTCTGGCTCGAAAGTCGCAACTTTGTAGTACAGCCGTACGTGGAAACGTGCTCCCGGAGCTCTGGCTCGAAAGTCGCAACTTTGTAGTGCAGCCGTAGTAAAGGAAACGTGCCCCCAATTTCCCCTGGGGCTGGATTTTAGTACGGGCAGAAAAATACCTACTTTACAATTGGTTTAGTATTGGCTATTCTAAAAGTAGTATTCCCGGATTTGGGACTTCCGATTTTTTTATTATTATTACCTAGGGCTTCAAGAACCTGTAAAAATGTTTGAAATCTGAGGGCAACGCTCTATACTGAGTATGCTTCAAATTCTAAGGACCACATTGATGAGCCTGACAGCCAGGGTGTGCAGCTGGCTTCAGTCTTGAAGTACCTTTCACAGCAACAGGCACCTGAAGACTGGCGCCAGGTCATACCGAACCAGTTTGAAGGGGGTGCTGGAATCCGAAAGCTCCTTTTGGTGCAAAACAAGGCCAGGTGACACTTTTGAGATTGTTTTTATCAATTTTGAGTTTTTTTTGGCAAATGGGGCGGGATCCTGGCGGCTAACCGCAGAAAACCCGCAGAAAACCCGTAGAAACCCATAGAAAACCCGTAGAAACCCGTAGAAAGCCCGCAGCCCCAACCGAAAACATCGTGTGTTTGGAAAACATCGTGTTTTCTAACCCGTAGCTAAACCGTGGAGAACCCGTAGTAAAGCGTGGCAAAGCGTGGAAATTCTATGGGTTTTTCGGGTTCAACCACGAATGCGCTAATTCGAGAATGTTGCTGGAAAACAACGAAGTCGTGAGCAAAAGCACGGTCTTTGCTTGAGCTTGCGCGCTGTTCGAAGCCAGCACGCCCTCATCATGGCACTGCTGCTTGACAAGTGTCATAAAACCGTGGTACTTTTGACTATTTGGGTCCCCGGCCTCCTTCTTTCAGGTTGGAGTTGCGAAAGACGAGTGGCGAATGCGAAGCTGATTTCGTTGCGAGTGCAAAGGGGAGGGCGATGGGAGATTCTGAGGTTGAGATGATGCTTTTGAGATCTTTTAAGAACGGATGACGAGTTGAAGGAATGTATGGGAAACTGCTTGAAATCGAAAATGCGGTGTTTCCCGAAAACATCGTGTTTCCCAAAAAACATCGTGTTTTTTGTAGGTATGACATTTTCATCGGTTTTTGAGGCTCCTGGTAGGGAGACCTTTATTAATAGGGGAAAGTGATTAAAGGTGGGTTTTCTTTGGATGGTGTGAAAAGGGAGAAAATGCATGGGGTCCCATGAATCAAGGGCCGTCCACATTTTTATAGTGTTTGAAAAATATCTAAAATGGGTTTCCTTCATTGGAAAATTGGATATTCTGCCTACCTAAAATTCCTGCCCATGCAGACCACAGAGATCATCCCAATTTCCAGTTGTCCGAGGCTGGCTGCTATTCGGTTGGATCTTTCAACCACAACTATTTGGTGGAACAAGTTCGACCTCGAAGCTTCAACTTTGGTTGAAACATGACGAGTGCCCCACCAGCGAAACATGTTTTTTTCTTCGTGGCGGTTCCCAGCCGTCCCGTTAGGCTTATAGTGGTAGTTTCCATATTACACCCACTGCAAGTTAGTCACTTGCAGCAGAGGATCTGAAAACGGAAAGCCCAAAGTCTTTCTTTTGGTGTGTTTTTCTTTGGGCGGGGGGCCACTTCGTGTTCGTTAGACGAGGGCTGTCTGGGGGGGGGTCAGCGGGCAAACGGGGACAGCGCTCGCCCAGCGTGCGCGCGAGCTTGAGGTTCCTTGGTTGTTGTTGGGAACCTTTTCACATGCTTATTGTGGTTTAGTGGTTGAATTCCCAACTTAACTGCCAAAAATTACATTTTTGCTCCCCTTCCAACGTCAACCAAGGGACGAGGGGACAACCAAGCGAGCGAGCGGGCGAGCGGGCGAGGTTCTTGGATGATCTCAAGAAGCAGCCGAAGAGCCTCACCAGCACCACCTGCGAGATGCAGATCATGGGCTCCCAGGAGGCGCCGGGCCTCTGGGCCTTCGGAGGCCCTCGGCCTTCGGAGCCGCGCTTCCATTTTTTTTGCTCAAGTGTATTTTTTTGCAATTTTCCCTTAAGGTTTTGCAAGGTAGATATCACTATTGGAAACCAGGGGGGTCAATGGAGAAAAAGTGATTCGCGCCCTGCAACAAGCCTTAAGCCTCTTAGGACCCAAAGTTGCAGCCGGGGGATTGGGGCTCTCTGTGCTCTTGGGGTCTTTGCTTCCATTTGCTTAACATGTTTTGTTTCCCCTGTTAATGTAAAAAAAAAAAACGAAAGAAAAAACAACTACTGGACATCTTTCCCCGGCTTAAGCAAATGGAACTAGTGCAGCCGCTTCTGATTCTCTTTTCTGTTTCAAACGGTTTCAACCAAAAGCAAAAGCAAAAGGGAATCCAGTAGAAGTATAATTTGGTGGAAGTCTACTTTGGGTGGCAGGTATCGAAGTGGTGCATCCCTTTCTCCATGTGTGTCCCTTTGAATGTCGAGGCTCCAGGTAGTGAATGTGGGTGAGGCTTTGGGGCTTCGCCGCCAGGGAGCTCTGGTTAACACGACGTGACCAGGGGTTGACTTGATTGCTATTCTTACCTCTTAAAAGCACAACTTTTCAACTTTTTGGGTAACATGGGCTATATGTCTGTAAAAGGTTAACTTCCCCAATCCTTGGAGTTTTAAGGGGCAAGTATTGGGTTGGATCTTTCAACCCTGAACTATCTTGAACTCTTTGGTTGATGTCATTTGAATTTTCCCATTGCACCCACAACAAGTGTTCAGCTTTTTGCGGAAGGGTCGAAACAATCTCACCGAGCTGAGTCGGTAGGCCCAGAGAGCTTCTGGGGGTTGCGGCTTGGGAGGGTTCCGGAAGGCTGCAGGTTACGTGCTGCAACCTGAGCCTCCCGAAGTCTTGGACGGTTTGCAGGGGTATCGCTTCTAGTAGGCAGTTCTTCTACCTGGTCTCATGTTTCGCCATGCTGTTCTTGAACCCTGGTCTCATGTTCAGCGCCATGCTGGCTTTCTATGGCGAGTCGCATTGACTGCAGTTTGTTTTGTGCTCTGCCATGTGAGTTCTGGTTTGGACGGTGTTGAAGGAGAGCTAGAAGGACGCCCTCAAACACATATCAAAAAGTGCAGCCCCCATGTTTTCAGTTGCTCCTAGTTTTGTTTGCTTTGATCCAGGGTCCTTAGCTGAGGATACTGATAGGAGGTCTGCAAGGACATGGCAGCCTTTGGCACGTCAATACATGCCCAGCACCTTCTTGCAGGAAGTTGAGTGGGTGGTTTGCTGTAGGGCAGCACTTGGTTTGAACCAAAGCTCAGGGGGAACCACCGTCAGATATCGTCAGCTTTCCAGATTGGGTCTCTTTGAAGAAACCTGCAAGCCATGCAAGCCAACAACCTCTGCATTTTTGCAAGTTTAATGTGAGTGTGTGTGTGTGTGAGTGTGTTTTGAGGGTACCCTTGTTTGTGGCTTGAATCCTGTTAACTATGATAGCCACAAGTGGGAAAGCCGAGACCATTGTAAGATTGTAAGGGTCCCCAAAGCCAAATATGCGGCGACATCAAAGGTCACGGTGGGCCCCAAACAGGGCCTCCCAAGGTCCACCTCTGCCATCCTTAGGTCGTGATTCGCCAGACCATTTCGACACCCGTTTTCAGCGGTGCCTTTTTTCATGAATGTATTGGAGGGGGTCCCTTGAAAAACAGATCAAAAACAAGAAACACACGTGGATGGTTGCGAGATCTATCTCGTATCACCTCAGACACCATCAGTCTTCCCCAGAACTAGCTCCCCTTTTTCCGTTTGTTGCTTTTTGGGGGTTTGCTTTGTTTTCCACTACCCAGTTCAAAAACAAAAACAAACAGCTTTTTGCTGGGGTCCCTTTTTTTAATCCAGCCTAGCAGCGTTGTTGAGTCTTGAAAGGGGCGTCCAGTCATGGCCTGGGGTTTCTTAGGTCCCTGCCCACCACTGCCCTCCCCTCCGAGGCCATCGGGTTCCTTAGGTTTTCATACTGTGCACCACCTCAAAAGCCCTGGGATGAGTTGATTCCCTGGTACATACCAAACAACAATGGGTTCGTTCCCATGGCTTCAAAGTGGTGGGAAAATGGATTTTTCGTCCGTCCACATGGTTTTAGTCGGCTTGGTGGTTGGGTTTCCGCCTTTCACCCGGAAGTGTTCGTCGCCTTCAGCAGGGGGTCCGTTTTCCGCTGGGAACTCCGCTGGGGCGGGGGCCCGTTTTGCTGGAGGCCCTCACCATGCCCATCCAGCAGAGCACCACGGCTCCGGCGCCCAGGTCTTCGGTTGGCAACAAAGAAGCCCAGAGCTTTTGGATGTCTATGTCCCCCAGCTAGGTGCCCTTCTCTACAAATTTTTTTGGGTTGGGAGGGTTCCAATACTAAAATAGACAACAGAAAAAGGGTACCCTCATTCTAACCTCTTTACTGGAGGACCTAGATGTGATGTGACCTGTTTGGCGGGGAACATCCCTTTTTGGGTTGGTGTTAAAGGGGGGCCAAAGGGAAACCCGAAGCCATTCTGGGACACGAGCCACAAGCCAAACCGATTCGCACAGATGAAGGTTGGTAAGGGACCCAGCCAAAAATAACTGCGGCTGCCTTCTTAATTCGTTACATGGTTCCGGGTAGACCATTTTAGTACCGAGTTTTGATTGTGGCTCACATGGGTGTGGTTTCTTTGAGGGGCTTTTGGATGTGATGTTTCGAGTTCGGTTTGGGTGCAGCAAATCTGTGGATCCCCGGTGAAATTAAACAAGTGCTGAATGATGACTAAAAAAGAACCGCAAGGGGAAAATCATGCGAAATCCCCCCAAAAAAAGAAGCAGAAAGACCACGCTTTCTAGCGTGATGTGTGGATAGGGTGTGTGTGTGTGTGTGTGTGCTGTGAGGGGTATCCTCTTTTGGTTTCAAAGACTAGGTCCCCCAGTAGGCGCGCTTTTACCTTTTTTGGGGGAGGGTTCCCCAGAAACAAAGGGTACCCTTATTCTATCCTCTCTACTGCAGGACCTAGAAAGGGAAACCAAAAGGCGACCTGAAGCCATTTCTGTAGCTCCGACCACCTGGCTGAAGCCTGTGAAAGGTCCACTGAAAAACTGGGATCTCAGCCGTCCGGTTCGTTCTTTTCGGTTCAACTTGGCGGCGCTTTCAGTACCTTTTATGGAGAGGGAGAGGGATGTTTGCAAAAGCCTCCAACAGGGTCCGCCTAGGTTCTCAGTTGTCCAAAGCCGACCATGGATTTTAGTCCATTGTTAGTCATGAACTCAAAGAACTCAACCTTTTATGTCCAGGTCCTTTGGTCAACTGAGATGTTCCCATCTTCAAAAGTCACCCGAAGAACTCCAGCGAGGTCCCGACCCCCGAACGTCCGTATTTGGGGGTTGACCAAAGGGTTCAAAATGCGTGGGACGACCATTGGAGAAAAAACACACTAAACAGATGCACTATTTCCCACATGGGAAAAGTGACCCATGGTCAAAACTGGGGGGGCCAAACGGAGTATTGGTCAACCCACCTAAAAGATGCCTCGTTTCGCACTAAATGGGGGAAAATACCCATGGGGGCCCAAGGGAATATTGATCAACCTCCACTAGGTCCCCCAGTAGTGCCCTTCTCTCCCCTTTTTGGGGGTTTTGGTTTCCCCTGCTCAAATAGCCAGCACAGAAAACAAATCGGGTACCCTGATTCTAACCTCTCAAATCTGGAGGACCTAGGCCACCCACAAAACCGAGAGAAAACACCCAAACATCGAAGCCAAACAGTTGCAGCACTCCAAAACGACCTGGTGATGGAGGGCTTTCCAAAGAGAGCCAGGTGTCGCGCTTGGTCTTTGTCTTTCTTCAGGTCCATGAGCTGAAGATGTACATCGCCATGAAGCCGCGGGCTTGGATTGTTTTTTTTCGGGGAATTTTCCCGGTCGAAAGGCGAAGCTCACGGAGCCCCTGGCAGTTGCAAGGGGTTCTTTTTTTGAGGCAAAAGGACATACCCTTTGCTGGGGGGGGGTGTCCTTCCATTTGCTTCAGAATATAGTTGTTTGTTTTATTTTCCCCTTGTTGGTGTTTAGAGGGAATGTATCACTACTGGAAATAATGTATTTTTTCTGGGGGCTCAAGCAAATGGAGGTTAAGGGAGAACAGGAGCACCGAAGCCATGAAGCCGCGGGCCGCGGGTCTGGGTCCTATTTTCACACTTATAGCAGAGTAAACCCCGTTTGTTGGCAGGGGTCCAACTTCGCCATGGATGCAGGTTGGGTGAAAGTGTCTTTATAAGTTTCGTCGCCCGCTTTACTCCCCTATACAGTTTGACGTTCAACATAAAACCAGCAACCTCCTCTTGGAGGACCTCTGTTTTGGGTTCCATGTTAATTTGTATGGGACCACGCCACATCGAGCGGCAATGATTCGTGCCATCTAAGAGTCTTTCACGCTTTTTTCTAGCGGGCCTCTGGCGAGGATGGGCATTGACCCCGGTAGCCTGACCTTCGTGATGAAGCAGGGCTGCAGCTGGCGCGTGCAAGCCGACAACGAGGCTCGCCGGCTTCGGAGTTCGCTTCGAGCGGGGTGTTTTGTTTTTTTGTTGGGGCTGGGAAGAAAGGAAGCGAAAAGGGAATTTGCCATTGTTTCTATTTTCTTTTCCACCGTACCAAGCCCCTGGCCTTCCATTTGGTTAAGACTATTTTTGATTTTCCCCTGTTGGTTTGGAAGAGAATCGATTTCACTACTGGACATATTTGCTCATTTTTTTCCAGGGGACGAAAACGCAAATGAGCCTCAGTCAAAACCCGGGTAGATGAAGGTTAGAAAGGGGCAGTGGGCAGAAATAGTTGCGGAATTCCGCCTTCATTCTTGAAGCATGGTTATGGGATTACGACCATTTGAATACCGGGTTTTGAGCAAGTGACTCAAATGGAGGGGGTGGAAACCCCACCCCTCCAAACGTGGGGGAGGTAGGAGCCTCAGTCAAAACCCGGGTGGATGAAGGTTAGAAAGGGGCAGTGGGCAGAAATAGTTGCGGAATTCCGCCTTCATTCTTGAAGCATGGTTCTGGGATTACGACCATTTGAATACCGGGTTTTGAGCAAGTGACTCAAATGGAGGGGGTGGAAACCCCACCCCTCCAAACGTGGGGGAGGTAGGTGTTTTTTTCTCCAGGGGACGAAAACGCAAATGAGCCTCAGTCAAAACCCGGGTAGATGAAGGTTAGAAAGGGGCAGTGGGCAGAAATAGTTGCGGAATTCCGCCTTCATTTTTGAAGCATGGTTCTGGGATTACGACCATTTTAATACCGGGTTTTGAGCAAGTGACTCAAATGGAGGGGGTGGAAACCCCACCCCTCCAAACGTGGGGGAGGTAGGGCATTTTTTCCAGACGAAAACGCAAATGGGTGTGGGTCAAAACCAATGGTACCATTTTGGTTGGTAGGTGAATTCACCACCCATTTTAGTCTATGTCAGTGGTTGGATTGGGATGTTCACTGGGGGTACGATTTGGATTTTGACAAATAGCCAAATGGAGGCGGCGCTGAACCGCGCTCGCCGCGAGAAATTTCTCTCCAGGAGGCCGCGCGGAAGGTCTTCGTGAAGGGCATCAGGTCCTTCTCCCGGGAGAGGCACGTCTGGCCCGGCGCCGAGAGAAAAGACCTGGGGATCGGTCCGCGAAATAGGCAGGGAATGCGAAAGAAGCTACCACCAATGGAATGAACCCAGTGATCCCCTTAAGGGAAACCAGTTGGATCGGGTCTCTAACAGTCATTCCATTTCTCATTCATTCCCTGACTATCGCGGCAGCAAGAAAAGGCGGCTTCCAGTTGCTTTAAAGTTTGCTTCCATGTGGAAACCCGTGGGTTGAGCTTGTGCCTGAAATGGGTACCCTCCCGCCAACTAACATGGAACCCTCTCCAAGAGGAAAGTCGTCTTTTTAGAGGGGTCTGTGCGCTTCCATGCCAGCGGGTGGGAGGGTATTTGTTTTCTCGTTGTTGGTGTTACGGGGAATCGATCTCACTACTGGAAAAACAAGACACGAAATTGCAAACAGAAGGCGGCAAGTGTCGGTGGTTGCGTTTGAAGTTCTCAAGGGCAATATCTGGGGTAAGCAGAATATGTGTTTGTTTTGTCAGGTATTAATGGGTCATACTTACAATTATGAAAACACATGCGGCCGAGTTTCGGAGGGTCTCGAATCTCACGAACCTATATTTTGGCATTTCAAGGTTTACTGGATATATAGGACAACATCCACAATGCCATCTTACGATTGTGTCATTTGGGCTAACTCCTTGAGCTATTGGACGTTGGCCATTTGCTCGATCTGGCGAAGTGGCAACAAACAAGTTTGAGCTTTTGTTTGGCCGATCCACTCAGGAAGCAAGTGTTACATTTGGCCAGCATTGGCCATACACGAGTCTTATGGTTGCTTCCATTTGGTTGAGAATACGTTGTGTTCCCCCCCCCCTGTGAGTTTTAATGGGAATCCATCACTACTGGAATACCGCCTCCCCTGGGTCAAAAATCAGGCCTTCCAAAGCTTGTTTCATGTCGGGTTCCGCAGCTTAAATCGTTTGCCTTGTTTTCCAAGAGGAGATACAGCCCCAGCTCGCTTTGACCCACCCTGTGTGTAAACGGGCGGGGTGCCAAAGCTTCGACAAGGCCCAACCCCATCGCCATCATCGGCACCGGGCATGCGGGACTTAGACAGGCGTTTAAAAAAATAAATAAAAGTTTTTTGTTTTTTTTCCCGAACATCCGTCCGGATCGGTCAGAAGGGGGTTCTCAAATGGGTGTCTCCCTTTTTGTTCGAGAAGCATCTCAACATGGCCGTCTCAGAATGGGTGTTTGTTTTCCTCAACATGGGCGTCTCTTTTGTTCCGCAATGGCTTCGGACTTCTGCATGGCTCCGGTGTTTCTGTGGGTTTTCCCTTAGCAGCCACCAAACAAGGTGTACCTTCAAACAAGACGCACATCCAAAATAGGCATCAGTACTTTCAGGGCCCACACAATCGTTAGCATGAGGTGGGATACTTTTAAGGTTCCCTTCCAAGGCCAAGCAGACGTCCGAGATGCATGTCCAGAAACACTTAGGTGGCTTCTTGCCGGGTCTTCTTGAAATAGGGGGTGTCTTCTGTTGGGGGTGTTTTTTCTTCTTCGTTTTTCAAACATGGGAGTCGTTTTTTGGAACTCCTTTTTTTGGATTTTAATTTCAAAGGCACCTGTTATGAATAGAAGAGGACCACCGCCATTTTGGCGGGGGGCCCTATTCTAGTAGTTTCCAGACTTGGACCCACCTCACAAGTGGTTGGCGGATGCAAATCCCTGGCCTTTGCGATTTTCCAAACACAATCTTTGACAAACTACCCACAACACCAAACATGACATTTTGACAAACCGTGCTGCGGGAAACGCATTCTGACAAACACCTCGGGGCAATCAGGGATCCTTCTTTTCAGAAAAAGTGCCAATCCTTTGAGACGGGCGAAGAGCAGGAATTAACCCTTAGAGTGCTTGGTGGCACCTATGCAAGCGGACGGAGACAAAGTTTTGGACAAGCGTCCAAACACAGAGTTTTTTTGGAGACAGGAACATGGAGAACCTCTTCGGTTCTTGTTTGCTTGGCCCTTCTCGGCAAACGGACTTTAAATGGCAACATCAGTTTTGTTTGGAGCCCAAAACGTCCCGAATTAATCGCCGGGCCGTCACCTTTGTGAGCTTAACAAACCTTGTCGTGTTCAACACAATTTGGGAATTAAGACAGATGCATTTTGGTGGGAAGCGCATGTTGGGAAAACTTGGGGTCTAGTAGTGGCTTAGTATCGGTAGGTTTAAGCACAGACTAAGCAAATGGTACCTTTGATCGGGGGGGGGAACCTTGCTGGCCCTTTGCTTGGTATTGGTCTTGGGTTATGTAAGGTGGTTCTCCTCTAGCGATGGATTTTAAGCTTGGCCACGCCTCCATTTTGAACAGCCCAGCAATACTCACCCCCTGAGTTAATTAAGTTCCTGGACTTTGTAAACTTTGTGGGCTCAGACAAGTTTCGTGGTGAGTATATTGTTCTGACTTGTTTTGGCCAGTCCACTCAGGATCTGAGGTAAATTGGGTAGGCGGTTTGTGACGGGTTAGACTTGCCGTAGCTGGAAGCGACGCGCTTAGTCTTATTGAGAGTGTGGCTTATTTTTTCCAGGATGCCCCCGCCCCGAAGAATAGATGTCCGCTGGCCTTTGGAGTGGGTCTCGCTCAAAGATTTTCTACAAGCAGGTATGTTCGGCAAAAGGTAGACTTGCAGACTCGAGCAAAAATTGGGTGGCGCAGGGTTGAAGCTCCTTACCTCAGCTACAACTTACCTTGGCCTGACCAACCTCTGCGAAGGAATTGAGTTGTGGATGATCCTCATTGTGCCCCCGGGCAGAAGACAATATCGCTCAAGGCAGTGGGAAGTTTACCCTCGTGCGCCCCCAAAATTCAATCTAAAGAGTAGGCTACATGGTTATGGGAGGTTGTTCCAAAGGCGAGCCAAAAGGGAAACCACTCATTTAGAAACGAACCCATGCATCCTGCATGAGGGTGCCTTCATTTTCCTACGGTCGCTCTGTCCACGTTGCCACCGAGACTTTTATACCCACGAACGAAACTGCCACATCTTGCAGTTTGGGTTGTAGAACCTAAATGGGTTCTGCAAGAAATGGGTTCATTTGTTTTTTGTTTAAGAAAAGCAACTCCGGTGATCTTTTGGGCTTGAACACAACATTTGCAGAAGGACCGTTCTTTACCCCAATGGCCCGAAACCCCGCCGGTACCCCCAAAGCCCCGTCCCGAAACCCCCGGCTCGCAGGCGATGTGGTTCATCAAGAACCAGGAGTTCAACTTCGTGGTCTACGACCGGAAGGCGCGCCTTTGGCGGATGGCGCGCCTTTGGGCGGATGGCGCGAGGGACGGAAGGATGGATCCGGCCCGTTTCGAGTCCCTTCCTGGGAATTCCGGGACTTTGTTCTAGGATTCTAGGACAATCATTTTGGTGGTACATAAAGAGTGAGCTTATCTTCGGAAGATCATGTTCCTGGAAGGACTTTTCGTTTGCCAATCCACTGGATTGGAATTGAGTTAAGCCTTTGCAACCCACAAGATTGGGAGGACATCAACCGAAAGCTGCCACGCGGGTCCCTGAAAATTCCTCTCAGGTGAAGCTTCAAGGGGTTTTGGAGCCCATGGACGAAACTGGAGTGGTGAGGTCCGCGACTGAACGATCCAATTCACTTCCATTTGCTGCAAGGAAATAATTCTTATTTTCCTTTGTTGGCTTTAATGGGGATGTGTCACTACTGAAATATTTTTGTTTGTTTGTTGTTCTCCGGTGCTTGACTTAAGCAAATGGAGGTTCGATAAACCTGAGGTGGTGTCGATTGGGTTTCGCAAATGCCGGCAACGGCGCAGCTATGGTTCATATGCAACAGCGTCGACCCCGGATGAATCTACCTGGTGGACAAATCCTCTCAAAAGTGATCCGGATTCCCCTCTGCAAATGGGTTGCATAGCTCCTTGAATTGCCTACAATTATAGCAAGCTCACCGGTCGCCCGAGGGCCAAAACGAGCAAAACGCACAGCTCGGGCTGTGGGAGGGAATTGCCCTGTCGGGGCCCTTGGGCAGAGTCTTGGTAATCTATATTATATATATATATATGTATGACATATGCATATATGTATACATATATATATATATATATGTATATATATATATATATCTATATACTCCTCCCTTGATCCACTGCAGTGTGTCGCCTCCGCAGTTTGACACCGTAGTGTGTAATGGCTGAACGACTGTTAGCCAAACTCCCACTGGAGGCTGTTAGGATAGTAAAAGCCATAGCAATGAGCGCCAAGCCTATTCCCATCGCGCCCTCCAAATGGCCTACAAAAGTATACGCACTTGTGCTTGCGCTCGTGGACAAAGCAGCTGATCAAGCACTTGTGTCTCTGCAGAAGAAGTGGGAGGCGCAGCGATAAGTGAAAATTCGTGGTCCAGTGCTCTGCTCCGCGGCCGCGCTTGAAGTCTTACAAGTGGGAGGCAACAGGTTGCTGGAGTTGGTCATGATTGGGAGTCCTCTTTGGCAAGGCAATGAAGGTGTCAAGGATCTCGAACAGCTTCATCAAGCACTGGACGACTTCCTGCGCTCGTCCCTCCGCAGTGGGGCAAACAAAGAGCCGGAGAAAAGCGCGAAGTAGCGCCAAGAGATTCAGATGCTCGCTCGCGCTGCACTTGATCGCTTCGTAGGCGCTGCCCCGCTTTTCCAACGCACTTCGCGGCGCAGCTCCTCAGAGTCTTGCAGGCCACTGGAAGCTGCACACAAAGTCCTGCAGGTGTCTCGAAGAAGTGCCGTGCCGAGTGAGGTCTCCCGCCTCGCGGCCTGTTTGCGCACTGGATATGCCAGCTGCCGGGCCGGCGTCACTGCGACTGCGCCCACCCACTGCATGACGCCTGCTCAGTCTGCGAGGCCTGACTGGCCGGCTCCACTGGGTGACCTTCAAGATCCTCCACTACCCGCAGAACCCACCAGTGTCGCAAACGCTCTTGCGAATGCACTTGTTGCATGCTGCGTCTGCTTGCGCAAGCGGCTCGAGGGGTCCTCTACCCTTGGTCAGGCCTGGATAGGTGTGGATTGGCCTGGATTGGACCCAAAGCCACCCAAAGCCCAAAATCACAGTGTTTAAGATTGCCCTTGCTGATGTTTAAGATTGCTTGCTTCTACCTTCGGTGTTTTCCAGGCAATTTTGCTTGCAAGAGGTAAAATGCGGATCTTGGGGGGGAGACCATAAATATACATATATATACATATTCATAGGCTATGGTCCACGCTTGTCCCCTGCGGTCAGTAATTCACTAATGATTAGACATGTTGACCCCAGATAAGTTCCACTTAGTAATATTGGCCCTGGATTTTGAGAACTCTTGCAGTGTTTGTGGGGGCCTGTAAAACACGACACGACCACCCAATCAACATCACCCAGGGGTTTCCGAATCCTGGCTTTGTGGCACGGCTGTGGCTTGACTCGGTTGACTTCCACGGTTTCTTCATGCCTTGTCGACTCGCAGACTCGCCCCAAAAGGACCTTGCTGGGCTTGCGCGTGGCGTTTCTATGACGCCTGCAAAAGGTCAGACTGATAGGCTGTTTTGGTGGAAAAATGGATTGTCCTGGTTTACCTGGTGGATCATCTACCAGGGCCATCTATTTGCCCTAAAAGGACACCTATGCTCAGTGGTTTGCTTTATGGTCTGTAGGGCAAAAGTTCAGACGAGGGGGCTTGGATATTAGTGGGTCGGATTCCATGTTTCCAAGGTTGTACCACCAGATCCCCGAAACACACCCCTCAAGGAAAAGCTAAGCTCTACCTATCGCTTAACAATCAAGTTTCTCCTTTGGGGTTTTGGCGAAATTGGTTGGATGGGCTTTATGCCATCCATTTGCCGGGGAGTTTCCAGCTATTTCACCAAAAGGACACCTACTGCAGATGGGCGAAGTCCTGCACCGCCTTGAAACCATGGTTGACACCATGGGCAGCCAATTTCGGCCATCCACAGTAACCTCCCCCCGCCAAGGTATCGTCTCACCTCCCAGGCATCCTCTTCCCTGGTCCATTTGCAATCTGCAGAAACCCATTTCACTCCAACCTCGCCCTCCCACCTTCGGTTTTTTTTCTCCGTTTTTCCTCCAGGACCTGGTGGGCGGAACCTCCTGGATCGACCAGGCTAACGTGACTTGGCCCAGACCGACGGCAGCGATGCACTGGATCCGCATTTTTTTTGTTTTGTGGCGGGGGCCAAGACTTTAAGGTTGACTAGGTCCCGCAGTAGTTTGCCCTTTCGTTCGTTTCTTTTTTTTGGCAGAGAAAAGACGGCACCCTTATTTTAACCTCTCCACGGGAGGACCTGGTTGAAATGTTGACCCCGGATTAGTAAACCCCTAATTGACGAACAAGGGTGTCCCCTTGTCGTGGGGGTTCATCACTGTTATGGGGAACCCCCCCCTAATAATGGGACAGGTTTATTAATCCTACATTACGGTTGACCCCATATCCCAGTTGCCCAGTGGGTTGCTCCTGGTTTTGGGTTTTCGGTTTCCCTTTAACGTCAACCAACCAAAAAAGGACGATTGCTTCAACTTTTCCTGGCTCAACTCAGCATGTTGAACCTGTTTGCTCCGGTGCTGGAAGAAGGGACAGGGGTCACTGGAAATCATTCGATTCTTGCACTTTCCTGGGGGTTTCCATTGAAGTTGCCCATTTTGGAGGTTCCAAAAAGGAAAATGGAGGAAATGTTTGGGGAACTCAAGCATAAAGTAAAGGGAACAACTTGGCCCAACTTGAAGCAGCCAACCAAAACGGCTTCGACTGGCCTGGTGGATGGCATTCCGCATTATGAACAGTGGTTACAGTCTGTATTGAAATACGTGTCATTCTTGTTGAGCATTGCCCGGCCTTGCTTCCCTTAGTTTTGTTGTTCTGATTTATAGTATCATTTTCCCTTTCAGCTGGACAACATGTTTTTGCGTCAGGGGGCCGGGTCGGATGCGTTTGGACCATATAGGCATTGGTCAGACACTTGATTGCTCTGGAATGGCAAGGGTGTGGCAGGGTTTCCTGCATTTCCCTTTTTGGGACTTCCAAAAGTGGCAGCTTCAATGGAAACAAACCAATAAATTGATCAACAATCTGGGCTGTTCAAAGGCAATCCTTAATCCTTACCAGGGGTTACGCAAGGGGTCCCCTTTGTAGTGGCTTTCCTATAGGGATCATGGATTAGGATTGGCCAACCCTCCATTTAAAACAGCCCAGACAGTTGAAGGGGGGAAGCGTTGGGATGCCATGCAGGTATGTGTCGCCTATTGCCAATATTGCCGATACCGGTCCACAAAAATACCCTGCGCAAGTACATACTGTGGATGGACGAAGTCCATGTCGTGCCACCTTGAAAAGTTCGTATTTGCAGGGGAATCACCATTCCAGAAGGTTCAGAGGTGGTGCTGGATTTCGTCCATCCACAGTATGGGTTGTCTCAAAACGGGGTCAACATAATGTGGTTTTGCAGGTATTGTTGGCTTAGCACTATGGCAGTATGGAACCGCTTTGAAGTTAGCCATAGACTTTTAGCCTTGAGTTCAGAGTTGGACTTCTTGCATATCCCACTCAAAGTTTCACGGATCAATGAACCACTCGGTTTTCCGTGGAATTCCACTGATAGCTCCAAAGCCACAGTCATTGCTGTGACCGACTTGCTCAAAATGAGAGACCGGTTTCACAGAAGCTTCTTTCCTCCCGCAAGAACCCTGAATTTTGCCTGAAGGAGACCAAACAATGTGAGTTGTCTTCGTTTGTCTCACCCTCCCAGCATCTCCCAGCAACACACATCCCAAAATCTGCGGATGACCAGCCACAACCTTGGCAAGCTGGGCCTTGCTCAAGCCCAAGCCAAGAATCCAATCTGTCATGGGCTTCAAGTTCTGCTCGATGCTGTATCCCAAAGTTTGCGGACGACCAGCCACACACACTCACCTGCGTACGCAAGCAAAACATAAGCACTATACATATATACATATATGTACATGTATCTATCTATATATATATATGCACATATATATATATATACATACATATACATATACATATACATACATCTGACAAACCTAGGAGACCTCCAAGCTGCAGACGGAGCTGGGCACCTACCACCTGCAGTACGATGAGGAGCCGAGGGGACTCGGGACGGGCCCCGTGGGGTTTGGGGGGGGGGGGCGCGGGGCGTGTCAAATTTGTTTGAATGACGTGCCCTTTGAGCGGTGCAGGTGGCTCGCTCGTCTTTATTTTCTTGGTGGCTCCCAGCCATCCCCTGGGGATTTGCATTTATCCCACTAAAAGATAAACGTTTAGCGGGGGATCTGAGGACAGCCCAGTTTTGAGGCCCTGTACCCCCCCCCCCCCCGTTTTTGGTGGTGCTGTGGACGAAATCCTGCACCACCTAAGAAACCCCGGAATGATTCGATTCCCCTGTAAATACCGACAAACAGTATGGTGTCAACCATGGTTTCAAAGTGGTTGCAGGATTTCGTCCATCCACGGTATTAAAAGGGTAACCAAAAGGACAATTGAAGACCACCAGTACGAGAGCTTCCTTAATTTGAGACAAACTCATAGATCGCCCTTTGTGCGCTACCTTGCGGAAGCTGTGCCAATCTATCGGTTTGTTTAGCATAGCTCATATGGTTGAAATTTGCATAACAACTCGGGGATCGTCCCTAGTATTCCATGGTTATGATGCTCAGGAGTTGGCGCCACCTCAACAGTGATGGACAGGAGTTCTCACCGAATGTTGATGTCCACCGATAGGGTCTCAAAACAGCCATGCCCACATGAAGATTCAAAATTGGGGGGCCCAACAAGAATGTGACGTGTTCCTTTGGTTTTCCTAGACCAGCCCGAGAAAGGGTGCCGGGCCGGGCTAAACACGCGCCCTGTTGGGTCCCGATTCGGGGGAGCTCCCTTTTGGTTGGTTTTCGGTCAGTGGAAGCGGGCCTGTGTTCGGATTCAGGGCAACTGGGTGTCAAAGAACTAAGCCGCTTTCGCCTTCGAGCATGTCCTGTGCCCGAACCTGGTGCTGTATTTTCTCCCATGTTCCTTGAGTTTCTCTAGTTACCCAGAATTCGGCTGAATTTCACATCGCTTTAAGCCTTTTGGGACTGTTAAAAAGGCAGAGCCCGGTGCCCAAGGTCCAAAGCACCTTAAGTTATTTTGATTCTCCTGGCAACTTCCTGGCACTTTCGCCTTGATCTTCAGAACGATCCGGTGCCCAAGAATCACGGTATTGTCCCACAATTTTGCCAAAACTTTTGTGGCTTAACCCCCCCCCCCCCCTCCCAAGGTTCGCTTCCATTTGCTTGATAGCACTTCTTGTTTTTCCCTAAAGAGAATCTTTCACTACTGGGAGTATTCTCCCCCCCCCCCCCCTCCAATCTATCAAGGGTTCATGAGGGCCTTGTTTGGGGGTTCCACTCCCCCTCTCCCCAAGGGTTTGTCATTTGCAAAAAGAATGCTTGTTGGTTTGCCCGATATTCTATCACTACTGGAACTATCCCCCCAAATCGTTCATGAGGTATATGTCCCCCCCCCCCCCCAATCTACCACTACTTGAAATATTCGTTCCCCCCATCCAGGGGCCCAAGGGTTCATGCGAGTTTGTTTTGGGGGGTTCATTTTAAGAATGCTCATTGTTTTGCCCCTCGGATAATCTATCGCTACTGGAAATTATTCCCCCCCCCCTCCAAAGGGTTCATGAGGTCTCCCCCCGATCCAAGGGCCCAACAAATCATCCAAGGGCCGTTTTTTGGGGGGGTTCAGGACAACCCGGTGCCCAAGAACATGAGCACCTGGCCCTCCACGGCGGAGCTGCTGCAGCACTTCCGCGAGGTGGCGGAGGAGTATGGCGTGATGCCGCGGATGCCTCGGGAGTCTGCTCGGAGTCGGATGTCTGGCAGTCGGAATCCCTTGACATGGTTGTTGTTGGGAAACATTTTGCATTTTTGCTTGCTGTGGTTTAGTGGGAAATCCTCACTTAACTGCTAAAGCATACATTTTTTTGCGCCCCTTCCAAAATCATGGTTGAGGCGGGGTAGGTAGGGGCAGGGTACTTCGTATGTGGGTGACAACCATGGCTATGACCCACTTGGCATGGTTGCAAGTCTCCTTCGTGTGTTCTAGGGTACTCGGGTGTTTGATTTACCAAGTTTGTAAGTTGCTGGCAACCATTCGGCGGTCTATCTAACCCACTATAAATGTGCCCCGTTCAGTGAGGTTAACCTTGTTATTCGGGGGTTATACCCCAATTGCGTTCTCAATTGGCTAACCACTTACCCACTTGGCCGAACATCCAAGCAGGTACAAGGTACGTGTTTCGGGCTCCTTAGCATAGGGTTGTTTGGGGTTCCTTAACGAGCCTTGGGGAACCCCCCTTGGACCACCCCTCCTAATTTCTCGGTCAACGTTTGGCATCGGAGACAGCTTTTGCTAAAATGTTGAAGCAACTTGAAGCCTAGGTTTAGGGTAGGTTGACTTGGTACTTTGAAACTCGGTTGTTTTTTCTTCTCAGCGGAGGTCTGTTTGCTGTGCACGGTCAACAAATGACGACAACAGGACGAGCCCAACCTCATAGGTGTTTATCTGGGGGTCCTCCTATTTTGACACATGCCCAAAAACTAGGAACCCCTGGTTTTTGTAGGGAAAGCAGCCCTAACCTCACCGCGCTCCAACCCTCCCTGTTTGAGGAAAGCTGAGAAGCAACCCAACTAGGTCTCACCTGCCCAAAGCGCCAAAAAGCGAATCGACCTTTTGACCTTCTAGAATCCCTTGCTTGATTCCAGAAGGCAATCCAGCACCTGGACATGTTTGCGTCCGGTTGCTGTTTGCAACCTTCCATTTGTTTCATAGTTTGTTTATTTCCCCCTGTGGGTTTGAAAAGGAATCGATGTCACCGCTGGACATATTTTATCAGCTTTGCTGGGGAGGAAACTGCAAATGGAGTTGCCAACTCCGAGGTACACCAAGATGTGCACCAACGTGAAGGAGATGACGATCAAGGTGGGGACCAAGCAGGAGCAGCAGGCCGCGACCTGGCCGCCAGCCATTTGGGAGGCCAAAACCACCTGGACCGAAAGGTTGGGTTTGGGGTGGGGGTTGGGGTAGAGGTTGGGAGGCGGGGGGTGGGCCTAGGTGGTGCAAACTGGAGTTCGCAGCCAATATTTTTCCAAGGGAACCCACATCCGACGGAACAAATTTGTGTGGGTCAAACTGAAACCGCCAGGGGACCACAGGTTTTAGTTCACTGTGTTTCCAGATCATTCCAGGAGAAGCTTCCCCATTCTTTCCAGGGATCCTTCTTTTCAGACTATCGAATTGTCATGTTGAAACCATTTTTGACCCGCAGAGCCCAATGGCAAGTGGCGGATTGCTTCTTTCCCTGGCCGAGGAAATGGCGCAGAAGGGCCAGTCGTGGCCAGCGCCTGAGAGTTGGGCGGCAGAAGCCTCTGGCTTCTTTACTTCCATTTGCTTACCCCCTACTCCAAATACCCGCTTTTTTCAGGGTATTTTTGGGAAAACCGATCGGTTTTCCATGTCTTGGGTGTAGGGGGTAGGGCTGTGTTTTGTTCATTTCTTGGAATCCCCTTGAGGGTTCCAACCACCAGTAAAGCAATGGGGGTTCAAATGGGTGTGGCTCAAAATGAGCTAGGGCAAGCCGCGGGTTTTAGTCTGTGGTTCCATTGACCAAGGTGCCATTTTGGTACCGTTTTTTTTGAGCCACAGCCAAATATAACCATGATTTAAGGAGTGTCCTCATCCAAATTGGCGCAACCATTCTTTTCCTGGAAAGTTGAACCCTAGGGTAACTAGGTCCCCCAGCTAGGTGCCCTTTCTTA